AGGGGTATTAAGTTTTAAACATTCAAAAAGCGTCATTCATTTTAAATTTGTAGTAATGTATTATTTACTCTATTCACATACCTATGTTTTTATTCGTAAGTTGAATTAATTGTAACCCGATATTTTCTTCTTCCTTGTCAAGTTTAATAAACATTTTACGTGAAATTACAAGCGTCAAAATACTAGCATTACAAAATAGTGTCGTCTGCTGTTAGAGAGGATTATTTTTTCTTAACTAAATAGTTCGTCAAAAGATTGCCGAAACTAGATTTATTACACTATTTTGTTAATTATACGGTTTAGACATTGAGTTGTATATTGTCCTTGTTTCTTTCCGTGCTCCGATGGTCAAATTTGACTTGATATTGTCGGAGTTTGTCTTTGCTTCATGTTCTCTTTAAGTCGTTCCAACAATGGCACTACAATAAGTTGATTGTCGTTTAATGTTTTAAATTTATGATGATATATGCCATGAAATATTAATGTAAGGTACAGTAGGGGATAGCTCTCCGACCCCACTTCACCAATTACGGGGGAAATAAATCGGCAACTTATGTAACTGAAAATTTAAGAAAAAAAGATTGTCGAGTAATTCTGATTTCAGAAGATGTCAGTTTGTTATCACGAACGCACGCACGAACGGACACTTTTATACAATCCCCGTTTCTTCCCTTGCATGGCTACTGTACTGTGTGAGTATTGTATTTCTGGACATCTGGACATACATGTTTATCAAAAGTGTTTGTATCACTGCAATCACTATCTTATAAGAACGAATGGGAAACAATATGGGTTTTTTTTCCTGAGAAATACGGGCATTTTCATGTATATACATGTATTTATGATTTAATGAAACAACAAGTAATTTCATCTTCATTTAGACTCACGTCTTCATTTTATATTAATTACGAAATATATATGTTATAAACACGCACCTGTGTAATTATATATACTTAAATATCACAAACCGTATTTATTAACAGTTAACAGTTTACTGCATAAAATCGAGATTTTAGCTCAGATTTCATGTGTCATCGTATTATGTGTCACTCTGTTCTCCGTTCTCGTTATTCTTTCCAAATCCCCAGCAAATGTGTTTCCCCATTTGATCAAGAGGTAGAAACAAACTGTTTTGTACCGCTATGGTTATTGGTGCACAAACGTTCTCCGGAACTCGGCAAATGTTGTTGTTGTTGTGCTGTTGTTATTGTTCCTTTTTATCCTGAGGTACAACGAGAGCTTGGTGAATAATAAGTGCAATGTGGTCACTTTTGTGCGGAAGGTGATCAACGTGTTGTGGAAATTAATGCACTTTAAGGTACTGTATACTACGGTGCTCCGTTTGGACAATCATGATTTTTTATTTCGTCCTAACCCACCATGCACGATGGTACTATGGTGAAAATGCGATGTTATATCGCGTTTTCACCATCCCACCATCGTGTTTTCACCATTGTACTATAGCGTTTTCACCATCGTACCATAGCGTTTTCCCCATCGTACCACCGCGTTTTCAACATCGTACCATAGCCTTTTCACCATCGTACCATCGCGTTTTCACTATCGTGCCATCGCGCTTTCATCATCGTACCATCGCGTTTTCATCATCGTGCCATCGCGTTTTCACCATCGTACCATCGCGTTTCCACCATCGCGCCATGGTGCCATCGTACCATCGCGTTTCGGTCAGTATAACTAGTACACATACAGAATGATGTCAGGGTCTGATAGGCAGATAGTAAAAACAGGTTTTGAATACTTACTATTTAATTTGAGTTATAAATAATAAAACCTGTTATCTGTACATTTATTTGCCATTTATGTCGTTATACTGTATATACTGTATATAATTCAAAGACTATTTAATATATGCTTATGTATGCTTAATATATGTCTGCATTTTTTCTTTTGCTGTATTTAGGATATCAACTTGAAACCTCATATGTACAGTGCACAAGGATGGCAACTTTATTTGTTTAAATTTTTGAGCAATTGCCTTTTTTCATGTTTTAGATACTAAGATCTCAAAGATACTCAAATAGAAAAAAGTGTGGGGTTCAATAATGAGAAGGCATACATTACGCATGACCACCGGAATACGATGGCACGATGATCAAATCGCGATGGTACGATGATAAAAACGAGATGGTACGACGGTGAAAGCGCGATGGTACGATGGTGAAAACGCGATGGTACGGGTTTTTATCATTGTTCTATCGCGCCATCGACATTTCACAATCGTGCCATCGCGTTTTCATCATCGTACCATCGTGTTTTCACCATCGTACCATCGTGCATCGCGGGTACAGACTAAATAAAAAAAATACGATTGTCCAAACGGAACACCGTAGTATGCAGCTTACAACGTATAGTTTGCTAAAAAACATACAGCTTACGACGTATAGTTTGTTGAAATCGTATACAGCTTACAACGTATAGTTTGTTGAAATCGTATACAGCTTACGACGTATAGTTTGTTGAAACTTATACAGCTTACAACGTACTAGTATAGTTTGTTGAAACTTATACAGCTTACGACGTATAGTTTGTCGAAAACGTATACAGCTTACGACGTATAATTTGTTGGAAACGTATACAGTGAAAACGTTGGATATGTACATCTACTTTCGGAAAAAGGTGTTCTGTCTTAACGTATGAATTTGTTTGCCTTGAGAAATTATTCGGATCAATACTAACATTATTATTATTGTCTTCATATTTGATACGGATATTGAAAATAACTAATGAGTTTAAGGTCAGTATGTCAAAGGTCAAGTTCACTTTGTCCAAAACAAAAGCATTGCTCGACCAACAGCAAAAAAACTTAGTCGTCGTCGAAGTCGTACCCGTAGTCACTGTAGTCGTAGCTGGCATCGTCATTTAAACCGTTGTCGTAGTCGTACAAGTCGCAGTTGTGGAAATCGTTGTCAAAGCTCTTAGTGTACCGGTATTCGAGTCTTAGTGGTCGAAAAAGTCGTATTTGTAACCGTACTCGTAGTCTACAAGTCGTACTACTAGTATCGACTAGAATAATCGTTGTCGTAGAAGTTTTAGAAGTCGTGGTAATTGCCTCAGTTATCGGTGAAGTATTAAATGAAGACCGTGCCCGTTGTCGTATCCGAAGTTGTATAATTATAAGTTATTTTCATGGTCTTCCTCGTAGTCGTAGATAACGACTCGTAGTCATAAAAGACTAAATATTCGTAGACGTACTCGTAGTTATAAACGGCTTTTCTTTGTATGTTCCCCATATGTTTGATCGGTTAGATTTATTGTTTTGTAAGCTATTTCAAAGTTACCGTCTGTGCGACTCTAATTTGCAAAGTCATAGTTTTTACTTTGTAACACAGCTTTGTTTTGTTGTTTTTATGTAAATATATTTCATGAACAATATTTGCCATAATCTCAGGTTGTTTTAACACACTTGGTTTATTAATTTGTTTGTATGCGTTATATACATGTATATATGGTGTTATCAAGTTATTTTATAAGTCAGCTATAAAAGCTCTTCTTACAGATATGTTTACTTCACATTTCCTTCCAGTAGCCACTGGCAATTGTGCGGCTTTGAATTTTATTCACGTCTAGTATATCAGCGTAACTCCCTGGTTGCCATGGCAACGAATAGACCTTATTGAAGATTATATTGTTCAAACAAATGTCAGCATAACATCAGAAAGCGCCCTTTAACAGGAGGAGTCGGATACCTTATATAGATTCAACATGACCATCTATCACTGATTGTGTTGATTTGCATTCACTAATAATTTGTAACCACTGCCCATCCGTTTCCAAAATTACCTGAAAATAGCCGGACTTTGACTTAGAGCCAAGGAAATCCTTTGTTAAGCTCCTACCCTTGTAGGGACATGTTTGGTAGTAAATTAACTGTTAAATTTAAATGCCCCAAACCCGTACCTATATCCTGGCCACGTTTATAATCTCTTGCTTTTTCAAAGCCTAAACAATTACCTCCGCTGTGCAGGGACAGCCTAAAGATGAATAACCAAAGAGTAATTATAAACAATCTGTGTTTTGGTACGAAGATGATTTTGTTCTTTTTCTTTATTATTATCATTATTAGTATCATTATTAGTATTATCAATCAGCATCATCATGATCGTCGTCGTCGTCGTCATCATCATCATCATCATCATTATTATTATTATTATTATTTTAGCCAAAGCTTGTCATTCAAATACAGTACATAATTATAAAGATGAGTAAAAAGCTTATTTAGTTCACATATATTTTTATCAGATATTTAAACTTTAAAAGTAAAACGTAAATAAATGTTTATTGATTGTGAATATCGGTAGTTGGCATGCTTTGGTCTTCTTAAGCTTAGACGTGGCATTATCTTCAGAAAGCACCTGCTATAAGATTGGCGCAATGCAATAGTCACTGCAATGGTAGTATTACAAGGTTATTAAGATTTACCTCGATATGTTCGAAATATAGACAACGTCAAACATTTGTTACAATGCAAGGGAAGCAACTATTCGGATCTCCACACCGATTTACCTAGTCCGAAAGGCGCATGTACATTGTATACACAGACTTATGCATGCATGAGGTTTTCTTTGTCTCCAATGAAATGTTTACTCTACAAATTTTTTTAGCACACTAAATATGTTTAAACGTACATTCAGCACGCGGACACCTTTACTTTGTTTCACATTTTTGAGAACTACATTTTGTATACCTACATTGATTTACGGCTTTGCGGAGGATATATATATATATCCTCCGCGCAGCCGTAAATCAATCTAGGTAAGTTGGTCGTTTCCGCCCATAGTATATAAAATAAAGCGGCTTTTTACAATAATAATAATAATGATGATGATGATGATGACGATGACGATGATGATGATGATTATGATGATGATGATGATGATGATGATGATGATGAAAAATATAGTAATAACTAGTCTCCTTTTCTTAATGCAGGCATGTCTTGCAATCGCATAAGGGAGTCATAAAAATAAACAATGACGAAATGAAAATAATATTAATTTTTGATTAAACAACAGTTAGGAACAAAAAAATGAACATATTATACAATGTTTAACACAGTTTTGCTTGTTTTCTGTCAATTGATTGTCATTCAACAGTCATTTCATTGTTATTTTGTGTTTATTTTTATGAATGTCAGTTTAAGAACTAGAACTTACAATATGATGACACGTGACTGATTTGCTGTAGGGGTTTAATGCACAAACTAGTTTATTCTACGTGTCAGAATTAGTATAGCCATTGAACTTGTTTTTTGACGACACAAGAAACAACTTCCGGCCACTAGGAATGCTGGGAAGCCGCGTTCTATTTCCGATAGAATCTTCGGAAATCTCGGCCCTTGTTATTACCGGGGTTCCATTTCTACCGGATATTGGCGTCAACACCCGTTTTAAGCTTTTCTGTGAGTTTAATATTCCAAGCACGTCTTTTGCGAATGAGAGGCTAGATGGTCGACTGCCAGCTTCCGGTCGTCGTTTGTACAGGTTACTGTTACTCCTATGGAGACTGTTAGACCGCGAGAGGGCAGTGTAGGGGGTTCCCCTTCCGGGAAAGTCGTCCACATAATTTGGTGTAGTGTCTCTGGACATGTATGACCCTTCAAACTGCTTATTTTCAAGAATCGGAGAATCCAGCTTTCTGTTAACGAAAGCGTTCCTCGACGGATGTCGAGAATGTGGGGTATTATTTCTTTGGAACAAATTTTCGTCCTCTAGGAGTCTCATCAGCCCGACTTGATTGTTGACTTGCTTCGTGTTAGCCCCTCCTTCACACACAAGGACTTTACAACACTCAGGCATCTGTAGTTTAACGCTCATTTCTAATGCAGTTAATCCTTGTGCATTTGTAAGTTCTAGATTGATCGTTGATTTAGTCACTGATGCGTTAACAAGGACCTTGATTGCAGCAGCATTTGCGCACATTATCGCGTGCATTATTGCTGTGTTACCCTCATTATCTTTAATATTTGGATCACAACCCTTACATCTTGCTAGAACACGCACTAAATCTAGTTTATCATTGTCCATAGACGCATACATTAACGCAGTGCGCCTGTTTTCGTCTATTGCGTTTACGTCACTTCCTTGTTTCAGGAGCATGCGCACTAAATGAGTCCTTATTTCATCTTTCGCTTCACAAACAGCATATATGAGAGCCGTTTTACCGTCGTGTGTTGTTGTTGTAAGACTATTATCACTATCCTGTAAAATATGCCCTATTTGTCGCACGCGCCCTTGGGCAATCGCTGTGAAAATATCCATCATTTGGAAACTTCTATTTCTTAGATCCCTTGATCCACGTAATCCTATAGCATAAATAATCTCTTTAAAGACCTTAAAGATGAGTTTGTCTCTTTCAGTTAAATGGGTCCATATAACGACTTCAGGACTATTTGTTCATTATCGATTGTTGTCCTTTTTCTACTCGCAGCTCTAATTGAGAGCCCAAATAAGAGCGTTTAAAGTATTTGATCAATTGATTACTTGCTTTTTTAAAGTAAATAGTCCCACATATTTTACAGTATCTGTTTTTTATACAGTGATCATATACGCCTGTTTTGTTATTTTCTCAAACCAAAAACAAAGATAATCCAAAATTTAATGTTTTCCTCATAACACAAAATCGAATTATTGACAGAATGTCATTTTGTTTAAAAAATATTTTAACGATTGTAGATTTTAATTCAAACATTTAAAACACCGTAATGAATCTCCGGAGTCTTTGTATATTAACGTTTTAAACTCTTTAGGATTAATTCTTCTGGCTACTTAAATATTGCCGTGATCTTTAAACACGACCTGTGTATTTAAGTTTTTAATCCGCATTGCGTTCCAATTTTTCTCAATTTAAACTCGACAAATGTTTGTACTAAACTCCAGTTAGAATTTCAACTTTAATTGCATACTTTGTAAATATTTATGATTGTTATTGTAAAAACCTTTATTTACGCAACAGGTTTAATTATAATGTGCTTTGAATGCTAATAATGAAATTGGCAATCGGAACTGATCAAAATCAGTTTGTTTTGCGTGCATCCCAGACATCAAAATATCGACACAAGCTTGGTTCTTCTAAATCGCACAGGGGCTTGAATTTTTTTTTAGAATGCGAAATTTAAAATAAAATTTATCTATATTTTGTTAAGGAAATTCTGTATTTGGTATCCTATCTGTGCGGTAATCTATAGTAAATGAATTAACGGTCGAAGAAAAAAATGTATAAACAGTTTATCAGTGAAGTTTTATGTCCTATTTTAATCTGTTATGTCCTTTTTTCAACAGTAGCATATAATGTATTGTCCACTTTTCACCACTTTCCACTTTTCGAACCCGTGTCGCCCAATTTACAGTCAAACGCTCTACCTATTGAGCTAGCCGGACGGCCCCTTTTCATCGGTGAGATATAATCTCCTTGCTATACAAGTGATACAAAGTATAACAAAATTATAGAAGAAATGAAGTCCACCGAAACTGTGAAAAAAAAAATAAACAAAGTCGACGTGTTTTTTTTTCGCAGTGAGAATTCAAAACTTTCCTTAAATTCTCATCTCCATTCTCACAGGGGACATGACAGGATATTAGATATACCAAATACAGTAGAACTTCATTGTGTAACACTTTTTATGTGTCGAACTTCGATAAGTCGAATTACGCGATATGTCGAAGTAAACTGAAAGCCCCTGTTGTGTACCCTTCAATAAAAAACCGATATAGGACTCAAATCTTTATGTGTCGAATTCTTCGATGTTTTGAAGTTTTTACAAGGTCCGTATGTGGAATAAATCGAGTACATTTTAAAACCGTAAAATAAGCCGAAGCCCTATTTTTTTCACTTATATTTCAAATTATTCTGTTTGATAAAATTAGATTTCAATGTAACGACCTGTGGAAACATGAAAATGATAAAGTCATTCTACGGTCGTAAACATAACCTTTGTATTAAAGCCCAGTTGTAATGCTACAGCTAGATCAATAGGTTCGTCCGTACAATGTTGCAAATATCCTGGCACTTATACAAGACCGATGTTACACCGTTTATAAAGATTGTACCCAAATATAATCGATCATTTAATCAGTTATTAAGAGAATATACCTTTATATAGCATATTTTCTTTATAAATAATTATCGGCAATTATAGTTTAAAGTCCTTGATTGCCTGGGTGAACCACGAGATGGTGTTAGATAGATAAAGGAAGGTTTTGAAACACGCATAATTTACATGATACCTTGCTAATGTACCCCTGAGATTATTTCTAAATGAATCGTGTCACTAATAGAAACAGTAGTAGTAGTTTCATATTTTACATGCAAATGGAATCGGTGTTATTTTTTAGACAGTGTGGCTCCGTTATATGTCACTCCGCCGCTAGATGTCGCCCAGTGTATTTATGCGTGTCTTTTTTCCCGCGCTTCAATAAAAAACAGTCAAAAATAGCTCTTATTTTACTTTTTAGACGTAAAATATATGAAAACTTGTGTTGAATGAATATAATATACATCACATTAAAGTGAAAAATAATAATATATTTATCACGTTAGGTGCTCTTGAAATTATTGGAATTCTCTCACGTCTCAGTGAATCAGAGCACAGTCACTAAAACAAACAAATACACTCAATGTTATAAACCAGTCACTACTGCTATTAATATCATGCCATTAGAAACTCGGAAACAAGTTCGTTTTGAAGAAATTTAAATATTTAAATAACTTTTAATGTTTTGAATTTTTTTCTTTTGAGATGATTTGGATGGTGTTGTATGGCTTTTAATAGTAAAGCGAGGTCACGTGTTTGTGTTTTTTTATATTGGTTGCTTCCCCTTTAATTTCAACAACTGCACAGATGCAAACAGACTTTCAGCTAGGTAGCAATTTTTTCCTGTTCTTCTAAAGGTATGCAGTGCACTGCTCACCATGTCATCGAAGGCATTAATAAAGACTGTAAACATCTTTGATAAACAAGTCAAGATTTCTGCTAGGGGTCATTAACATATGCAATAACTTAAAACGTCTTGGCCAATTTTCAAAAAAATAAATTGAACCCTGAACACAAAACAAAGACTATTTTATTACGGCAGAAGTTTTATTTTCCAAAAACCATTTTAGACAATTGTTTCCGGTGTCATGTTAGCTGACGATGCCAGGGACAGAGGCCCGCGAATTAAATGCGCCGGAAGTAAAGGTCCTTGGAATGGCGATGGTGTAGGTGGCGCCTCTGGTGTCGTTGACGGTTCTATAGTCACAATCGTTTGGAGCGGAATGTCGTCTGCTGCCCCCTGTTCGGCAGCATTTGATCTCGGAGGGCTGTTTTTCTCTGCGCTAGCAAACTGAATAGCATCCATCAATGGCCCAAAGTGACGTTTCTTATTTTTCGACAGAATATTAGAACGATTTTTTACAGAGCTGGATTTTGTCTCATGTTTACATTCAAGATATTTGTTGTATGTTAGCAGTTCAATGTACTGTAAAACTTTAATTTTTTGTCTGACAGTCCCCAAGAGGTCCCTTGCTTCAATAGTGGTTTTCACGTTGCAATATTTCTTATAGAACACGGATTCCTTTTTCTTTGCCTCGATTTCGTATCCCTCCGGGACTGGAAATAAATTGATTTAAATATCATATATTAAATTGTGACATCATTATTTTAGATTTCTCACATTTATTACAGGATGTATTTATTATTATTGTTGTTGTTGTTGTTGTTCCAGTAGAGTTACAGATAAATCAAATTAAAACTGTACGATCTGTGTGTTTTGAAAGATTGAAAACTTAATTAACACTGACACATAATCTATAAAAATGGGGGTAGAAATAATGTCCTGTAATCTGCACTGGTAATCAAAATGGAAATGAACTTTTGCCTTTTATGAATTAGCATTCCGAGATTGAAAAAAAAAACATTTTTTTTTTGTAAACTAAAAAAGGTCACCTTCGACGTTAATTTTTCAAGTTTTTTTCTCTCCAGTGTCTGCTTTCCTTGGAAAAGCAAAGTTTGATTTCTCTATGGAAAGTCTACTGTATGGAAAGTCTCTAAATATTGTTTATTTTATGTATAAAAAGAGTCTCATTTACATGTATTTGGAATTTTCATAAAATTTGCAAAACTTGTTATTGCTGATCTTTTGCAGATCCTAATTGATAACACTTTAAAGCCGAAATAAATATGGTGACGGTGATAATGATGAATATGGGATTTAATTTTGATAATAACGACGATGATGGTAATGATGATGACAACGATGATAATGTTAAAGACGACGATGGCAAGATGATGATCTTCATGATGACCATAATAAGATTATAATATAATATTAATTAATTATCATATGACTTACCATGATAAAGTCGATAAATATATGGCTCACAACAAGAAATATCAAAGGTCCCTACCTTCTGATGCCAAAAACTTGAGTTCACATTTCTTATTGAGAAGATCTTCCTTGAGGGCCGCTGCTTGTTGTTTTGTTGCCGCTATTAGTGCTATCACCTCGCGGATCTCTTTCTCTATAGTAAGTATATCCGTCTGTCGTCTGCGCAACTTATCACGTTGTTTCCTGGAGGTAACCATAACTTATAATAATTATATCTGAAGATAAATGAAGCACTTGTGTTTTTCTTGAGCTTTTATAATCACCAAATTGCAAAAGCTTCCGGGTGCCAAGGCGTTGCCCTGGACCCATCGGGGGCCCGAGCGGGCCCCTTGCCCCCAACTTTTTTTTACAGTATACGTATTTTAAGCTTCTGTAACTTTTACCCCTGTACCTACAGTACGTTTATGAATACTATAGATTTCTACCTTCTTTGCAATAATTATGGCCGTATTCTAGCGGCTCGGATAAACTCAAAATTTTTTAAAAATCGTTTATATTTTGCAATGTATACCTATTAGAAAATCTTTATAACTAATCAAATCGAACAGGAAGAATATCTTCAATCATGATAAACACGTAAGCTAAGAGCTTTACCTTAGTTTGTATATCTGTGATATCAGCTTTAGTTTACTGTTTTCAGCAACCTGATCCCCAAATTCTTCCGACGTGCCTTCACTATCATCATCAGAATCCGATGAAATATCAGGGATATCACCATCTCTTCCTTCTTTTCTTCTAAAGCTTCGAGGCTCGAAAACATTATTTTTTGATAAAGAATTCATTTCCTTTCCTGAGCTTTTCTCGTAGACGGCATCACTTTCTGTTTTGAAAGAGTTGATGGCGATTTCTTTGCTATCCGATTTTGATTTTCTTCTCATGAGTTTTTGGAAAAATGACATTTTAGATGCTTTAAATAAAATGATAAATATAAGTGCACTTGTAACAAGCATCTGATAACTATGTCTATGTTTCAGACGAACATGGCGTCATGTTTTGTTTTGGACGGGACGGCGTCATCTTGACGGTAGCGTGCAACATATAATTTCCCGCGTTTTTTATTGAAATTATATAAATGAATAAATCTACACATGAAATGTAGATACGAAATACAAATGTACATTGTACACATTAATAAGAGCATGGCGATTTGTAAGGGACACAATAGTGACGCCATGGTTCTCCCTATACTAGGCCTAGGGCATGATTTGTCCCCGGGGGAGATCGCCCGGTGAAATGAAATTAACAAAAGCCGAATACAGGACACGCAAAGATTAAAGTTCATTTAATACAATGTACGTGTTACATTAAACTTGCAATCTTAAATTTGAGCACTTTCTAACAAGATCTCTACATTAAAAAGATCACTAGCTTGTAGCTAAGTACTGTAGAGATTTATCAGAGACGTGTCTTACTCTATATAAATATACAAACAGTTTATGCTCAGTTGTACAAGTATTATACTGAATATTGTTTGAATCTTTTGGTTTTTGTAATTGTCCATGAAAAACAAGCTATATACAAGTGAAAAATACGCATACAAGCTGGGAGGCCCACTTTCAAGAGCAGACGAAACAAAGATGATAATGATAAATTAATTCGTAATTAAATTACTGAAGAAGAAAAGATAACTCTTAATGTGATATTTTATTGACAGTTTGCTGTTTTTACCGTATATTTTCTCCTCACAGAATGATTTGCGGTGTATTTGAGTTTATTTTGTTATAGGTAATTTAAGCTTAATATAATTATCTTTTTTTTTCAGAAATAGAAACTACATTTTTGACAAAATACCGATACTAACTTTAACTAATCTTCGGATATTCTAATTTTGTCTACAGTAAATTTAATTATATATCACCCTGCCCATGTTTCATATCTTAGACAATTAGTGAGTTAAAAGCATAGTTAATAAATGACTTTTTCCTAGTTTGGTCGACTATTCTAAGAAGGGTACGCGTTTCTATTCATGCTGGTTCCCACGTGGTAACCAGACAACTCACCCCCCAGACGATTCACCCCTCAAAAAAGCAAGACAACTCACCCCTCAAGACAGTTCACCCCTCAAAATAGATAAGACAATTCACCCCTCATAAATGATAATCATGTTTATGGGTAGAAAAGATTAAAAAAGTCGGTATATTTATTAATTTATTTATTATGACATATTTACAAAACATAACAGCACATATACCATGATGTACAGTATACAACAAAAAATATTATGATATTTTTATGCAAACATGTACAACTGTTTAATTATGGAGAAGAAGTACATTGTATCATTTCTTTTTGGGAATATTGTAAGATTTCAAAATGTCATTTTATGTCATTTAAGTATAATGTCATTATCACATATAATGGGGATTAGTATCATTTGGGTTTGGGAATATTACATGTCTCTGCCAGGAATCTATCTAATCACTACTTATCACTTCACTTAACAATTCGTCCATATATTTCCCCAACTTGCTCAAGGAATTCCTCGGCTCTGAGCTCATGCTCATCATACAAATCCCATAAGGAAAAAATGTCCTGATCCATTGACTTATAAATCTGTCTTCGTATACATTGAGCTCTTCCAATTATCCATTTCTGACCAACAGCATGTCTTGAATAGCTTCTAAAAAAATTTAATTGGCCGCACGTGCACAAAATTTATTTGTAGATGGATGTGTCATAAGCATTCAATGAGTTGTTTGAATATTGAATGGGTTACTTTAATTATCAATTCTACATAATTTAGCTTTACATAATTAGAAATTAATCAGAACTTCAAAGATTTAAGATAATTACCATATCTATCCATCTATCTAGATAATAGTCACTTAACACCTAATTAGAGATAATTACGATCAAAGGAAGTGTGAAAGGGATTAAGGCCTATTGATAATCATTAATTAATTCCTTTCAAAATGAAAGGGATTAAAGAGCAAATGATTATCACATGTTAATATCTTTGATATGTCATCTTATTATAGCATCACTAGCACTTAGTAAACAAATTAAGACAAATTTATGGTGAATTTGTAATTTTTATAGTTTTATGTAAATAATATGTAAAAATATAATCACATAGTAACAAATATTATTTTTTAAGTAAAAAATTATTATAATTAATTTAAATATGACTAATTTATAAATATCAATTTAGTAAAGAAACACAACAAATTTGTTTATTGCATCTTCTAATTTTAAGATAAATTTCATCAAAATTAAAGTTAAGAAAATGGGGGGTGAATTGTCTGTGTCAAAAATCCAATAATGTGGGGTGAACTGTCTGGGGGGTGAGTTGTCTGGAAAAAATGGCTTAGGGTGAATCGTCTGGGGGGTGAGTTGTCTGTAAGCCCCCCACGTAATCTTAAAGTGGTTTAAACTTTAATATTTAAAGTTCTGTTCAGTCCAGTCTTTCGGATAGTTCTATCCAAGACTGATAAATATATCACATACATTATTTGTATTTTTGTGAATGAAATCTTCCTCTTTCTTAATTATTACATTACCCAGGCTCATGTTTTATTACATTATCAGATTATCCAGACTCGTGTTTTATTACATAATCCAGGCTCATGTTTTAGAAACAAGCACAAAAATATTCCAGCATGCTGTCAGTGTCATACTGTCAGCTCTTGTTAGAATTTTTCATAATTCTGGAAAAGAATGGAAAAAAATGAGCAATGTTTTTCATAGTCCAATATATTAGACGTTACAGGCTTGTTATAGTTTTTGTCGGTCAAGCCTGACGTCTAATAGTTATTGCTCAAAAACGCATAGCATCATAAAAAAATCCAAAAATGTCTATTGTCTTGCCTTTCAAGCTTTATTCAAAAGCTTATCATATTTTCTTTCAATTTCATGCTCAATCATACACAAAAACTTTCAAACGATGTACTTATCAATTTAAAATAAAATATAAACATCAATCTATTTTTGTCTATCAGCCATACTGGTTAAGCAAAAATAGTACACTTGAAGTGGGCAATTACAGGCCTGTTAGTATATTAAGTATTATCTCTAAGATTTTAGAAAGAGCTGTATATAATCAATTAGAATCATTTCTTGTTAAAAATAATATATTGTATGAACACCAATCTGGTTTTAGAAGTTCACATTCAACTGATACTTGTCTCATACATTTGTTAGATCATATCAGACTGAATAATTCCAATGGCTTATTTACTGGAATGATAATGATAGATTTGCAAAAGGCATTCGATACTGTTGATCATAATATTCTTTGTGGAAAACTTCATCTGATGGGATTACCAATACAGAATGGTTTAGATCTATCTTAATAACAGGCAACAATTAGTAGCATATTGGAGAGTTTTCTTTCTTCTCCATCAATAGTAAATTGTGGTGTTCCTCAGGGAAGTATTTTAGGTCCATTGCTCTTTTTATGCTATGTAAATGATATGATCACCAGTATCGATTCTGAGTGTAAGCTTATTTTGTATGCTGATGACAGCACTAATAACTTTTTTCTCATCATGATCCTGATTTTATTTCACAGAAATTAGGTAAAGCTCTAGAATCTTGTTCAGATTGGCTAGTTGATAATAAACTGTCTCTCCACTTAGGAAAAACTGAATGTATGATTTTTTGGTCCAAAGAAAAAACTTAAAAAGATTAATAATTTTAATATTATTTGTAATGGTCACACTATTGAATCTACTAAGACAGTCAAATATTTGGCTTGAAAATTGAAAATCTTCTGTCTGGAGAAGAAATTGTTAATGCAGTCATATCTAAAGTAAACACTAAACTTAAATTTTTGTACAGAAACAGTAAATGTCTATCATTTAACTGTAGAAAATTGCTTTGTTCTGCTTTAATCCAATGTCATTTTGACTATTCTTGTTCGTCCTGGTACGAAAGTTTAAAATAAAAGTCTGAAAAGAAACTGCAAGTAGCTCAAAACAAAGTCATAAGGTTTATAAAAGATTACCATCCAAGAACTAGTTTAACTCCTTCTGATTTTAAAGATGTTAACATGTTAAATATTGAAAACAGAGTTAAACAACTGAGACTTTAATCATATTGCATAAGATTTTTTATAATACGTGTCCAAGTTATATGAAAACAAATTTTGTTCGGATGTCTGATATACACAACTACAACACTAGATCAAATAAGTTTAATTTTTCAATTCCTCTTTGTAATAAGATATGTAATTAGCACATTTTTCTATAATGGTATTAAAGAATTGGAATAGTTTTGCAGATGATGTAAAATGTATATAAAATCCAACTTTATATAAAAATTCTGTTTAAAAGCCATCTTGCTTCAATATGGGCTGCGCAACATCAAAGTGATTTTTATATTACTAATTAAGTGGCGACATAGGTCTCGCCAACTTTATTGTTTTTAGTTATCTTATTTTTTCCTGTGCCTTTCTTTCTGTGATAATGCAAAACTACTGTGATTGAATAATTTGAAGGGTTATCTCATTGTCTATTTTTATTTGAGGAATGAATGTCTCTCTGGTTTTATCTTGTTTCCATCTATTTGGTTAACAGGACCCCATTGGAAATAAGCACACCAGCTTAAGGGCTATCCTTGTAACCATAGATCACTATTTAACAAAACCCCTTGTATTGAAATTTTATTGAAATTCTTTTACTTCTTTTATATCATGTTTATCAGTAATTTTAAACAATATTCTGTGATAATTATAATTCTGACTATTGTAGTCTTAACCTGAAATGTGATTTTATTAATTTATTCATTTGCTTCTTTTTTTAAATACATTTATCCTATGACTCGTCTGATCTCAGTCATTAACTAAATTTGATTTATTTATTATTAATATGAAATGATATTTTAATTTGGATAAACTGTTATTTTATATATATGTTTATTTATATATATATCTTATTATGTAACTGTGATCTATGTTGTTGCTAAAATAAAATAAATAAAAAAAAAAAAAAGGTGCTTTACAGATTGATTCCAAATTTTTGAACGGAAAAATATATTCGAACACACTGACGGTGCATGGGCAATTATTTCGTTAAAAAAATATTCCGTTAGATTGTTCTGACTCAGTTAAACGCTTGCATTTGAATTAGCCAATCAGATTTCGCTCACTTTACGGCCGCCATTTGTTTATCGGCTGTAAAAGGAATTGAAATACATTAGAGGATTTAATCATGATTTTTCGGATGTGACAGTTTAATTATTTTGACAAAAGGTATTTATTTTTTAGTTTTGTTCATAAATAGGTCAAAAATTATGTAAATACACGCTGTCTTCATTGTTTTTCGTTCCGCCCGATTTTCTGGCGGAACATGCTATGGGTTTTTGAGCAATTTCGATATGACGTTGCTTTGCCCAGAAGCAAAAATATCTCAAAGCGACGTCATATTTATAGGACTATGTTTTTCAAAGTTATTTCTGAAAGAGTGACCAGTCCATGCCCTTTGAATAATCAGTATTTAAAAAAAAGTTCCATTTTACCATGATAATTTCAAATAAATCGTCAGTAGTTGGTTAAATAATTAGTTAATATAGTGCTGAAAAATGCATTGATTCTTTATAAAACAAACACAGTAATAATAAAGTTTCCTTTTAAAAGGAAAATCTTGCTCAGTGTAGCTAAAGATACTTCAGCGAACAGGTTTTATAGTTCTGCTTGACCTGTTACTGTCGCAACGTCAAAATAAAAGCGACATATAAAGTTATGGAAGCCAGAACTAGCTCAGTGTGTCTTCATCTCTTCCCTTTAAAATTGTGGGGTTTTTTCTTGTTTCAATTTATTATCACAATTTGTTTTGAATTACGGTATTTGTATATCATTAAGGGTTTATACAGTTTTTTTCTCGAAAAAAAAAGTTTCACTTTTAAAAGGATAGGTAGGGTAAGCCCAAGACTGGACGAGCACCTGTGCCCATTTGTTTGAGCACCAGTGGTTATGCGTAAATAGGGACCAAAAGTCCACTGTTTATAACTGAACGGGAACATGCTGACGATAACAGTTGCAACTTTTTTTGTAAAAAATAATATTTTTTTGTCAAAAACGATTCGAAATCTATTCTCTATTAAAATAATCAATCGTAAAAATACTAACGTTGGCTCTCACATGGAGATCAATTTATCGTACTGAAGGACATTTCATTTCCACTTTTTTCGCAGAGAGAGTCATTCGTTTTAGCAGTTGCTAATTTCATTTCTATAGCAGCTTTAGAGACAAGTGAATGCACTAAAAGACTTCGTTACGTGGTACCAATTAATAAGCATGTATCAACTATGTTACACCTAAAATATCTATGGACGTGGTAAGGTTAATGATATGCATGGGCTATTTTTAGATTACCTCAGCAAGACGTTTAAACTATGTCAGTAGATCTAAATATAACTTGACCATGCACTAATATTCTGCGTGATTCGGTCACGATATTTTGGTAAGCAGGACCGCCCTTTGGAGACGGAATAATACTACAGTAACCATTCTCTATTTTATAACACTAATAAAGACAAAAACCAATTATAAAAGAAACTAACTTTTGCGTCTTGAAAAAGAATTTAAACGGAATCAAGTAAAAATAGAAAAACAAACTGGGATTTCCAAAGTAACTAAAATAGCTTAGATTTCCGTAATATTACTTCGTCTGATTCCGCAGTATGACGGAATCGCCCGAATTGTCACGATTGCAATCGGAACAACCTCGGCTATTATAATTAATCCGAAGAGTGACGGAAAGGGCCGAAAAGTTGCGATTGGCACGATTGCAACTGGTTTCCCGTTCAATCATGCACTAACAAATGTAAGCAGGAAACCACCTAACCGGAACAACTTTTCCAAAACAAATAGGCTTGCAGCCGTGGCTGCAAGCCAAAAATTGTCTAATAGTTTAATTCTCTGTTTTTATGCTCCCGCCATAAATGGCAGGAGCATATAATGTTACCCTGTTCCGTCATTGTGCCATTCCCTCATTATCAGTTTCTGATCATTATCTTTGCAACAGTGGCACATTCAACTCAAATTTGACATACATGTATGGATACAGCATGGGAATATGCTGGTCAAGTTCGAATTTGGTCATGGTCTGATGACTTCTGAGTTATGCCCCTTGAATAAATTTTCAGTTTCCGTTCATTATCTTCCCATCACTTGTACACATTCAACTCAGATTTGTCAAATTGCAATATGGATACGTTAAGGGAATGCTCAGGTCATGTTGGACTTTGGTCATGGTTTGATGACTTTTGCCAGAATTATGCCCCTTTAACTATGAAAGAAAAACAGAAGAAATTATCAGTTTCCGTTCATTATCTCCCCAAAAGTCAATGTACACATTCAACTAAAATTTGACATATAGATACATCATAGGAATAAGCAGGTCAAGTTTTAATTTTGTCATAGTTCGATGATTTTCGACAAAATTATATCTCTTGAATGGTGGGAAAAATTGGAAATTTTTAGGTTCTGGCATCTGCGCTCTTTCTTATTAAAAAATGTACCAGTATGCATAAGATAGAAACTGCATGTACAGGTATTTAAACAGAAAATACAAGTCAAGTTTGAATTTGGTTTTGGTCAGATGATTTTTGACATAGTTATCCTTCTTGAACTTAGAAAAAAATAAGAACATTTCAGTTTCTGCTCTAACTTTTGTAGGAATGCCACATTTTTGTCACTTCATGATTGTAAAAAAACACTTTTCTGTTTGTTAATTGGGCCTTATTTTTGGCCCTAACACATGTGAAAACTAACACTGTAGAGATCTGGTCATTTAACCTTTAAATAATTTCTGTGTTTCTATTTTTCAGGTATTTACCTGAGAAGAATGACTGCTATACTTGTGTAAATGATATTACACAAATCTTGTTATGATATCACCACATGTCATGAATGCAGCGTCATCTATATGAGGTATTCTTTTCAATCAAAGCCGTGTTTCAATACAGGAAATTATGAGAAAATCGTTTGGGCTCTCGCTGCCTTGTCAGAAGCATATTAAAACTTGCATTATCTGTTTAGTAGCTTTCTTTGTTATAGAAAGCATTCTATTTAATACAATATTTCTCTATATTATCTGGAACCTGCGTGCATCTTTCAATGATGTTATAAAAGCACCTGGTGAGACGTTTCTTGACAAGCTGGCCGTTAATCCATTCTTTGCCAGCTTAGTTTATTCAGGAAAAGAAGGTGGATTTGCGAAACTTCTTGAAAATACAGTTGGTAGGGTGTATATAGAGTCTATAGAGAATTATAATGTAAAGAGATCCAGGAAAGGAGTTTCTCATATTCGTGACAGCAGTTCAAATTCACGGCATACTATTAATAGATTAGGTGTTGACGTTTCATCATCAGGAGAGACTATGTATATTCTTGAAAGAATTCATAATCTGGGAGTTAATAGAACGAACTGGGAGAAACTGGTAATAGACATAGGAGCTAATGATGGGCTCTTGTCAAGCAATTCATATAACTTTATTCGCTGGGGCTGGAGTGCAATCTTGGTAGAACCTCAGAGTTACCAGCTAGATATTGCAAAGAGAAACTTGCATGGGTAAATATTTAATAATCTCATTCTGTTTCTTCTATTATTAGCTATAAAGATTCCCCAGACAGGGTATATGACCCTAATATAAAAAATATTGTTTCGAAATATAACCAGAGTTGCTAGGTGAGTGTTACATGTATACTGTGAACAACTGATGATATTACGTGTCAGAAATATTCATAACAAATTTATAATACATGCAAACATGCTATTAAACCATTATGTAAACATTATAATACCCTGATGTCTAAGGCTTAATGTCACTAATGTACCTTTATATATTAGAGGTTTTATTTCTACCAATCAAAGTATGCACTCATATCATGCCTTCCAGTGGTAATCATTTATGACACAGAGCTTTAATTGTTAGAACTGATTAAGTTAAACAGAGTCTAGAAGTTTGGATCACCATAATTCTCCAACTTACAAAAATTTCAGCTCATAATTCAGCAGTTTTTTCAAATTTGAAGCATAATACTATGATGACCCAAGTTGTCAATGTGTTTTTTTCCATCTTCTTCAGGTATATAAAGCAGCATATAGATCAGAAAGTATATTTTGTAAATGCTGTTCTGAGTAACTATGATGGAACAGCCAAGTTTAAACTTTCCTCGGATATTGTTGCTATGGAAAGTCATGTGATCACTGATCCTAGGGAGCCAGGTGTAGTAACGGAAATCCGGTGTTACTCGGTGAAAACTTTTGCAACCAAATTCAACGTTCCGACCAATTTTGGTATTCTATCAATAGATGCAGAAGGGCTAGGTAGTACGGTAAGTTAAATTTTGTGATTGATTAAAAATCAAACTTCTTTAAGTCATATGTGAGTTCAGATACTAGTGCTTCAAGCCTGTAAAGCTGGTAAGTTGCATGGTTACACCAGCCATTCTAGAAAATACATGCATATTTCCTTCATTTTGACATGTATATGTACATTGTAGGAAATATGTTTGTATTTTCTGTTTCTGAGCGAATGGTGTATGCACCTATTAAATAGTAGCAAAATATTATCTTTAAAAATATTTATTCTGTTTACATACATGATGTTAAATAACAGAGACATTATATGTTACAACTCAGTGATTATTTTTCCTGTATTTAACAGCCGAATAAAGGCCGTTTCCCCTAGCCCTAAATAGGTATATTTTCTCCTAAAAATGCTACTATTTTTCCCCTAAAATGCCCTTTGCAGATTTTTCACTAGAGCCATGACTTAACAGCAGCTGACTTATATCAGCTTAAGACAGAACGCTGTCCCTACAGATAGCCTCTGCTATGTATCATGGATGTTAAATTGAATTGAAATTGAATATTCTAAAATATTTGTAGGTAAACCATTCTCAGTTATTAGAATTTGATTTTCCCCTTTTCTGATTTATTGCGCTATATTTTCCCCCATCAGAAAGCCACAGGTTGTTTTCAAAATTGAAAAAAAAATCACTGCAACTTTTTCAAAAATTCACCGTAAGATTAATATGTAAACAACATATGAAAATAATTTTACTGTTTATAAATCATATAAAAATATTAATTTCAGTAGATATAGCTTCCCTTGAAATGTATAATATTACAGTAAATTGTTGATAATGCTGAAATTAATCTTCCTTTTTATTAATATCCATTTTGATAGTGTGACGTTTCATGTTAAATTTGCTTATTTACATTTAATTTCAATTAAGATGCCCTTTAGCATTTTATTTTTTAAAAGTATAAGAAATAATATTTTCCAAGGGAGATAATCTAGTGCAGCAGAAATAAATTATCTTCATTGGAGTATTCTCCCTTTGCAACTCATAGGGCAAAATGTTTCAGTTTTAACCACCGTTCATGTAATTTAATACTGTAACAAATTCTTGAAGCAAAGAAAATAAGTTATTCAGTGATCAAGCTAAAAGCCACATACAACATATATCAGATTATAAATCTAATTATGAGACCACGTCCCAGAATTAAAACAATTTTGACCAAAAAAACCTGGTGTTTTTGATAGACAGTTTCACTGTATATTATATTAAATTTATATTTTTTGACAGATATTACATCAGTGGATCAGGCTAGGGTATAGACCAATGTATATTATACATGAAGACCTTCATGACCCGGAGGACGTCTTGGAAACAACTCGTAAACTTAAGATAGCAGGGTATGATTTCCTTACCAAACGTGGCTGGAACAATATCTATGAGTATAATCCGAGAAATAGTTAAAAGTGAAAGTTGAATTGCTTTAATGGGTGTAAATGTCCCAAGTATACACTGCAGGTAGTCAAAATATATTGATGTGCCAAAGCTTGATTCTGAGATATTTTCGTTCTGGGGCAGAATCTCGCTTTTAGAGGCGAGATATTGCCCAGACAAGAAAATAGCACAGTATCTCCTTATGCAGTATAATTAGTTGGACTAACACTGCAGGGCTGGCAGAAATCTCATTTTGACATTCTTGTCCATATGATATTTATATATGTAGAGGCTGTGCGACAACTTGGGCAATACGGACAATTGATTTTGCTACCCGAGTAGTTACACAGATACTGTTTACAGGGATTTACCAGTTGTTTTTTTTTGAGGATTTGAAACAGTTGTTGAATATATGCCTTTCTTTCAATTGAAAAAACTGTAAAAAAAATCCCAGTTATTTCTAACAAAAATTTATAGATTTCCAACAATTATTATAATGACTTAATTTTATGCAATACATTCCATTAGCATTGTGATTTATTGTCAGAAGGCGTATCAGTTTTTAAGAAAGGTATTTGTGATATTGTATGTGGATAAAACTAATCCCTAAACCTGCTGGATCAAAAATTATTTTGTCTTGGACACCCTGAGTATACAGACAGACCACCCTGAACTTTGATCCTTGCAGTTTGATCAGGGTCTACTTTTTTGGCTTTAAGTTACTATTGATTTTCATCACAATATACCTGAATTGATAATTGACCAGTGTTTTTTCTCATTTAATTTGGAAGAGGCCTTAGCCTCTTGATTTTGGGAAAAATTATTGCTAAAAATGCTAATTTGGGAAGGAGAAAAGCTGGTTAAGTTCAGACTTTTGGGAAAACTGTATGATTTTAAATAAAATTTCCTTTTGGAAGAGGCCTTATATAGGCCTCTCTTATACACAGTGTATGGTGAAAAATTACTGTGGACTTGTAATTAAATGAAAGTTGAACATATCCAATCTAGAAATTCAATAGGCTATTATTTAAGAAAAAAATGTGTTGTGATATATGTTACATGTATGTGGATCTTGTTAAAGGTTGTTTATGTGACTCATTTACATATGTAATTTTATTCAAAGAAAACACATGTATTCAAGTGCCTCCTTACACTCACTAGACAAGTGAACAAATTTTCTAAGAAAAATATATTTTGAAGTAGAGTTGAATCCACTTTCAAAGAGTCAAGAACGTGTACATTTCATGCAAAATATGTTTAAAATGCATTATCATATTTGAATTTCTTTCCAATTAAATTGTAGTGAGGGCTTTTTTTGGCCACAAATCTATAAAGGCATCTTTTATGTTTTTGTTAAAAGCTATTTTATGTTATTTTTCTACTTTTTACCTTTAATTAAACTAACTCAGAGTAGACTATGAACTTCAAACATATTTCTATGTAGGGCGATGCTCTTTTTGCCCTACGCAAATTTTGCATGCGCGAGAAAATACTACTTCCTATCGATATTTCATAGCAACGGACCCCATCGTAAAGGAGACAAAGAGTTAATTAGTTATAACAATGGCTGTCCAAACCCTCAGGAAGAGGGGGGGGGGATAGCAGGGAAAAAGAGCAAATTTTTTTACCAACTCTTCAAACTTCTCTATATGTAACTAACTATAAATGTAAGTTAGTTTGATATTATGTATGTAGCAAAGGGAAATATGCAATATATAATTTTATACAAGTTTTTTTTACGCAAATACTGGGCAATGTTTTTAGATTTTCATTTCAGTTGCTACATTCCAGAAATTGAACATGTATTTTATTAGATGAAATGATAATGTGTTCTATTTTTGTAAAAAAAAATTTAGTGTGTTTTACTGTTTTATAATTTGTAATTAACTTTTACATGACTTTACGATGTAAGATTTAAAGTTTTACAAAACTGTAAACTAGATAATAATGTTTTTCCTGCATAATAATAATCAAGTGATATTATCTTCAAACATGTTTATATTAATCTGATTTATTTAAAGTATTGTTATTATTAAAGAAAAAGCAAAGATATTCATTTTGTTGTTTTTAGCTCACCTGTCACAAAGTGACATATGGTGAGCTTTTGTGATCGCTTTTCGTCAGGCAACCGTCCGATAACTTTTACTTTAAACGACATCTCCTCATAAATGGCTTAGCAAATTTCATCCAAACTTCACAGGAATGTTCCTTTAGTAGTCAACTTTATAAATTGTTCAAAGAATTAAATTCCAAGCAGAACTCTGGTTGCCATGGCAACAGAAAGAAAAAACTTAAAATATCTCCTTTTAGAAAACCGAAAAAGCTAGAGCTTAAATATTTGGCATGAAACATCATCTAGTCAGTGTCTGCAAAGTTTGTTCAAATAAAAGCCCTGGGTTAAAATTGGCCCCGCCTCAGGGGGTCATTGATTTTCCTTATTGGTATATAGTAAAAACTTAAAATCCTCTTTAAAAAAAAAAAAATAGCTAGAGCTTAGATATTCCGCATGAAACATCTTCTTGTGGGTGTCTACCAAGTTTGTTCAAATAAAAGCCCTGGGGTAAAAATTTACCCCGCCCCAAGGGGTCATTGTTTTTCCCTTTATGTATATAGTAAAAACTTAAAATATCGTCTTTTAAAAACCCCAAAGAGCTAGAGCTAAGATATTTAGCATGAAATATCTTCTAATGGGTGTCTACCAAGTTTGTTCAAATAAGGTCCCTTGGGTTAAAATTGGCCCCGACCCGGGGGTCATTGATTTTCCTTATATGTGTATAGTAAAAACTTAAAAAATCTTCTTATAAAAAAAAACAAAGAGCTAGAGTTTAGATACTAAGCATGAAATATCTTCTAGTGAGTGTCTACGAAGTTTGTTCAAATAAAAGCCCTGGGGGGTTCATTGTTTTTCCCTATATGTATATAGTAAAAAACTTAAAAAATCTTCTTATAAAAACCCCAAAGAGATAGAGCTTAGATATTTATCATGAAACATCTTCTAATGGGTGACTACCAAGTTTGTTTAAATAACAGCCCCTGGTTTAAAATTTGCCTTTGCCCAGGGGGCTATATACAGATGAGTGATTTCAGGGCCATCATGACCCTCTTGTTCTACTTTTCATAGGCGAGTGTGGTTTATCCAAATAGATGTTACACTAAATAAAAGTAGTTAAGTATATTCTGCTGCAGTTTATATGGAAAACAGAATATTTTTGATATGTTGGCCTTATCTTGGGACAAATAGATAGGACAAGCACTAAAGCCTGAATATTAACAAAAGAAACATTGATAAAACAGGGGGATGTATCTGAAACAGAAATATCTTGAACATAATTTGTATATTTATTAAACAATATTACAATTAATTTTCATCATCTATCAAGTTTCCATACATAGCCTGTAGACAGACCATTGTTTTCTTCTTTACATGACCCATCAAGGTCATATTCTGCAACTTTTGTAAGACGTTTTCTGATTGGATGGTCTAGAAATGGCAATCTCCCTGGATCACCAATGAACACATTTGTTTTAAATTTACTGAACAAATTAGTTGTCCATTCCACTAGACTGTCTCTGAATTCTTCATCATAAAACATGTCACCCAAAAGAACAGTGGACCATTCTGAATTTAGTTGACCAATCATATTGTCTCTTGATGTTTGAACTGTCACCCTATTGGCTGCTGAATTCAACTGGATCGCTCTAATTGCAACTGGAATTAGATAAATTCATATATTGTAACTAAATGTCAAACTAACTACTTGTCCCTGTTTTTATTTCTTTTTTAATTGAGTGTTTTTGCCTCAAACTTAATGCTACAATAAAAAAAGAATTAAGACTCAAGATAAGGTTTTCATCCATATAAGAGTATGAAAGATTATGCTAAATGTTACTAATAATAGATTTTAATAATGTTACAGAAATTGTACATAAAGGGAAGTAATAAGATTATTTTCTTAAAACAATTAAAAATTCTCTTAAAAGTTTCGTAATTTCTATCTTTTCACATTTCTAAAATTTTGTGTTTGTAACATAGAACAAGTTGCTAAGTGCGATTCTTCCAATAACGTTTATTATTCATATTCTGCATACAAATATAACATGTGATGAACTTCTCACTTCACATCGGTGCGTTCACGACGCTGAGAAGACACGGGGCATGGGCAGATATGGACCCTCATTAAACTTAGACTACATACATACATACAAAACTCCATCGAAAATATGGGATACTGAAAAAGAATTCAGACTCGTGAATTTAAATGTTAAACATATTTCAAAGCAATATTATATTATGATGAGATCAGCATTTTTGTCAGGGCAGAGGAAAGAAAATGTTTTGAAATTTATAAACACCTGGATCAACATCATTGGCTATAACATTTTCAGCTCCACACATGACACAAGCTATTGCGGAGGCGCCACATCCACTCCCGACATCCAACACCGTGGCCCCATTAAATATAGCCGGGTTGTCTAAAATATATCTGCAAGCATAACAATAACGATATTTATACATAAACTTATCTATATGGTTAAACATACATACATTTAATATGGTAAATAATTAATATATTAATTATTGGTATGATAAGCCAAATACCTATTATTTAATACACAGAATTTTAGAGACTATATGAAAAACATTTACAGAAATCATGGTTAGCAAGTCCTTCAAATTCTGAATTAACAGAAGCATTGGAAAGCAATATTTAGGAAACTGTAACGGTAAAAACGATCTATGAAAAGTGTATTATTTAAAATTACCTTTGAGTACCGGCGAAGTGCCCTCCTATAATTTAACAGTCATGTTAAAAGGTGGCGCTAAATAAAAGGCAACTGGCAACTAAATATACTTATGCTACCATCAGCCAACAAAAACGTGATGTCTGATTGGTTTGCACTGTACGCGACTTAGTGAGAACACATTTTGAAACTGTCCCCCAAAATGGTGACTGGTTTTGTCCAGATTGGACGATGAACAAGTCTAGCCTGATAAAGATTAAGGTTATTTACCTGGTCAGAACTTGTCCCCCGGGCCAATAAAATGCCCAGAATGGATCCGAAAACGGCGCACTGTCATCTGGCCTACACTTCCACAGTGGACATCGTTTGGTGATTAAACGTAAAGCTACTTCCGGTGTCATGTGGTCCCTGGTGAGTTCTGTATTTTTAGCAATCAGGTTGTCCAATGTTGCACATCCGCATTTTGAAAAACGGAAAACATCTAAACTTTTGTAAAATCTTGCGAGTTGTGGCTGATGAAGAAACTTCATGCCTGTTTTATCTAAAATATGCTGTTTCTTCCAAAGGCTACATTTTACAACTAGCTTTTATGTGCATTTCGTCCGTTTTCATAAAGTTCACATATCCTATTTCTAAACATAACTTTTCACTGAATAGATCCACGGGTTGAGGCCCTTCCTCCCTGTTTAAAATACAAATTTAAGCATATTACAATTGATAATATTCTGTTTATTTTTTCACACATGATTTATTTTTACAGCGACTTTCCGCTCTTTAGTCAACCTATTGAAGCGGTGTAATTAATGCTATACATAAATAAAAGATCATCATTTGTAAAATTAGCAAGTTTGAATGGACATTAAGTTTTTGTCAAAGAAAAAGGGGAAACGACTTTACTTCCAGTTTTTGTCATTTAACATTTTATATATATTTGTTTGGGTTTTATTTATATAAAGGTAATGTCATCGTGGCGACTTTTCTATTATTACTACATACATATATATATATATATATATTCGGTTGGATTCCACATGTATTTGTATGCAAACGATTATGGAGGGACTTAAACCTTTAAACTGCTGAGCGTGAACTCAAGACCCTTTGATTTGAGCTTGGTATCACTAAAGAGACGCTAAATAGTAAATAGCGTTTTGCCAGGTGCCAAATGATAGTCACAGAAAATGACTTTATGCCCTGCAAACGTGTTTCCCAGCATGCATAGATCTATAGCTAATTTCCGGTACATGATGCATCTCTAAGTTCTGCCATTTAATACTTGCCGCAGAAATGCTTTTATTTCTCTACAGCTGTTTATTTTCGGTGTTTTAAAGTTTCCAAATAGTTTACTCATAGGCACATTACCTACTTTTGCATCTTTTTTCTTCTGTTCTATGTTTGCTGTAAGAACAGTTAAAGTTATTTTATTATTTTGTATATTAGGCAAAATAATACTTTTTTTTATTATGAAAAGCGCTACTGTTTGCAGGTAACATATAATTAAACAAGCATTTAATATAACATGCTCTAAAACCATTATTTGACACGTTATGCACTAATTTATGTTTTCCAAATGATATATATTATATTTGAAATTTCTTTATTTCGTTTCGTATTGTTTCTGCGCAACAATTATTGTGCCTAAAGAAGTGGCTGGCACATTTGATGTTTTACACAATACCAAGGATTAAAATATCTTTGGCACGTCAAAATATGTTCATTACAACATTAATCTAAAGATGCGTTGTTTATTTTTGCCCTCTTTATTATTCCATTCCGGCCTGTAATAAATTTAAAAATATTGATCCCGCTTTAATAATATTTATAAATACCCAAATATTTCTGAATACCTAGGATTAAAAAAAAAAGGTGAAACTTTATTTAACAGATTAAATATGAAGATTTGATTATGTCATATTTGTAAGTATAAACCCCCTGGTTGCTCTTTAAGATTTATTTGCACTTTATAATAATGCAAGCTGTGTCAGTAAAATTTAAGAACCAGCTTGCATCATTTAATCCCCCGCCCTTGCCCGTCCCGCTTCATGAATCTTCACGCAATAGGCGCCATCTCCACCCTTAATATCAGTGATCTGCCCCTGTACTGCATACTGTACAGTGCGTGGTATATCAATAAAGCGAAAGTGCAGGCGTATAATTTATTTTGTTAAATGTGTGACAAACACAGCTTTATCGATGATCATATATATAATGAAACACTGGTTGCGCCCACTATCGTTGACAATGATCACTTGGTATAGAAAAATTGATCAATTTATTCTGACGTTATTTAAAGTATTCAAAACATTTACCTCTGTTTGTTGTAACCTGGCCGGTTGGTATGAGTAACCACATGTAAACAGCATGGTAAGGATCACGAGGCGGAAATGAACCAATCAGCAGGCGTGTTTAATCGCGTGACCTTGCGGTTGAAAATATAGGTTGGACCGGTGCATTATTTTGTAGGGGTGAAAGGTCTTTAAGCATGTTAGATATACTTTTCAAACAGATCATAACGTTTTAGATGCTCGTATCGAATAAATAATATTGAATGAATCAAGAGTGGATATAGATCTAGATCGATCATTTAGATAGTTAAATTGCATTAGATATACTTTCAAACGGATACTAGCTTGGATATTTAGATGATTTTATTCATTTATTTATTCTAAATAAATGATATAAATATTTGCGGACATTTTAAACATAAAATAACTGTAAAATGGCTAATAGAAAACATCAGATGTGTGAGAAATGTAGCAGTCAATCATTGATGTCTGTGTTAAACAAATTTGTTGAGACAGTGAATATTATGGACGAAAAGGTGATGGTGCCGAGTCGACTTCGGGACATGCAGCTCAACCAAAACTCGAACTTGGAACCCACTGAGGAGAACAATAATATGGCTGTGTTACCATTCACTTCGGGAAACGGTGAGGACTTGTATAGTTATTATGAAATGATAAATGCAGTAAAAGGAGAACTTTTAAGTGGAAAAGGTCCCTTAAGTTCACATCGGATAACCAGTTTAAGTGAATCGGACGGTGATTCGGACACCCTTAGTGACGATTCTTCCGATGACGGTGTGCAACAGGATGCGGCCACGAAAACCGCTCAGGCATTTAGACATCATTTACAAGGATTATTTGGGCTGTTACATCAATTGTCGGACACTGCTAAATTTCTAGGCGACGCGTACGAAGATCAAGTTGGCGTTAAGAAAACCAAGAAATTTACTATCTGAGGAGGCCCGAACGAGTATTCGAATAGTGTTCATTCATATTTATCAATGCAAAATTCGTCGAATAGCTTCGTCAATGAGGTCAAAGTAAACATTTGCAATTATTCATCCAACGCAATTAAAGATGCATGCATCACGCATTTTGAACATTAAATAACGCTCACGTGCCTGCTGTACGCACAAACGCCGTTCATAACACACGTGACACTGACAGTTGACAGGTGAAAAAATTACAGCAAAATAATATTTGACAGCAGAGTTTCGTAATGAGTGCCTTAAGTACACTTTTCAGTGTCAAAATGTGTTGGATAATATCTAAGTCTATTATTTACCTTAAATTTCCTCTAATCTTTGTTTTATTAATTTTATTTTTCATTTAACTGATATATTACGTTATTTTATTGAAGGTTTCATTAACTAAGTTAAGTTATGTCACTTGTCATTGGTGTAATTTATGCAACATGTGATTTTGCAAGGGACATCTTTATTGACTAATGCAACGCTTATACTATTTCTTATGTGAATAATTATGTTCAATTAATTAATATTTCAAACAACATGCGCTGAGTGTTAGAATAACTTTCATATTTGTTAAAGACTAAGTTTTTTTTCGGGGGGGGGGGGGGGGTGTAAATGTTTATTTATATGTGTATTTGGAAAAGTACGATTCACCGATACACGTCACCAACTCTGAACTATCCCACACCTATTGATAAAATACAAGTACATATACATGTATATACTGTGATGTTATGGTAGGATAGTTCTTTTATAACAAGTTTGCACTTATATATGATATTTTACTACTGTTTAACGCTGGCTGTGCCCGTTTAATCATACGTTAATGATTCCATAAAAATTATATCACATGTATGTAAGGAAAAACGCCACATTATATAAAACGATGTTACAGTTTTTTAGCAGCATATAAACACAATTTACAGTCACACTTTTAGTATATGTATACCATTATTCAAATACGTTGAAGATCCGGGATTACAAAAAAGTTTACACGTGATCTCGTGCTGCATAACGTATGTTGGAAGAAGCCGACCATTCATTTGATTGTTAAAAACATTTTAAATGAAACGTGCCCGTCTGTTATCATTTACAAAATCGTAACAAATTAAAAAGATGGTCAGTGTTCATTTTGTATATACATGTATGATATCGTTTTATTTAACGCTTATTTATTTTCTGTAATATTTGATGTTACGTCAAGTATTGTTGAATCTTTAAATTGTTATCCTACAGTGAAAATGACAAAGTCAAATAAAGAAATAATAAATATTGTTGTTTGTTTTTTCATTGTAATTGTAATAATAGCACTTTACGGAACATGTGCGAACTTGAACTTCACTTTGTAAATCCGTTTTTAAACCAACTTGGACGAATGTGGACATGCGAACAATTTTATTTTATGTCATACATTGTTTGGATTAGGATTATAACAAGATTAACTGCGACGAGATTATTGTTGCTTGGTCATCTTAATTAAAATAAACAAGTTTTAGAATTCAATGCAAAAGAATTAGAATTAAATATATATTTTTTATGAAAATACAAGTTATTTCAGAGAATTTCGCATAAATTCACGCAATGTTAAAACAACGCAACTTTCGGCCCTTCCCGACTCTGACGAAGGTCTCCGAATTTCAATATATACATTTTAACGCTATTAAATTCAGTTACTTACTAAAGTTTAGTTAAAATCGACTTGGGTACATATTTGTTATCATACAATGAATTCCTGAATTCAAAATTTATAGGCCATCTATAGTTTTAAGACATGAATTGCGACTTGTCCGGGGTTCGTACTCTCAGTAAGTTAAGCTCACGTTGATAGGTAAACAAGCAACACTAATATCATAATAACTCACTCGTGATTTTAAAATACCGAAAATGACTCAGATACACGAACCGGGTGCGGTTTATGATGGTGCGGTTTATGATAACAAGAATGGTGACGTAATTAAAGCCTAAAGTTGACAAATACTCAACTTAGTCTCTTATCTATCACACGCTAAATACTCATCGTTGAGTTACTACAATTGTAATAAGGCCACATTTAAAAAAGTCTTTGTTTGCTGTCTCCCGACCCTCCTTTTTAGAGTTGGGTAGGTAGGTAGGGATTTTTTTTTTTTTTTTTTTAAAAATACATACATGTATGTTTTTGGTTTGATTCTGTTTGTTGGAAAAAACGGTTTAATAAAAAAGCGAATAAAATTTTTTAAAATTGATATATCTTACTTTTTATTTCAGTTTGTATATCTTTCAATTAGTCAATACAAGAAGTATAGTTCTTTTTAATAACAATACATGTAACAAAAGCAAAATTTCGAACATTCACCCAACATGTGAGAGGATGACTAAAACACACAAATATACTCAAATATATTATGCAAAATAACTACTGAACAACAAAAGGCATCATTATACATCAACAGTTTAAAGTCTGCTTACATTTTTTTTCCACTGAAATGAATAGTTAGTGACACAACCAGAAAAACAATTTCAAACACTAAGCAACTTCAGACAAGTAAACAGTTAAGCCACAGTATACCAACAAAATTTAGGTTCACAGTATTCATTTTTTATAGGACATCTATGGGGAATGTCTTTCTTGTGGACATTGATGCATTGCTCATAAACTGAAAGTACAATCCTAAACTTTGTTAACAGTTCTGGATTTCTCTGTGCTTCTGGCTCATCACAATGGGCACAAATATCTGGTCGTCCAATGTTGGAGGCACAGTAAGGGAACTCCACGTGAGATTGACATGACATCTGCAGTCATACAAACACTCTCCCTTGCAGAGCATCTCCTATGAAAACAGACAGAAGGCTAGACTTTATGCAATACAGATTTTGCCAAAAATGCAATTATTTTAACATTTTTAATTATACAAACACCATGGGAAATATGTAAGAAAGAATAAAATCAGGTTTCTACTTTCAGTTGATTATGTAAAAACATTTTGACATCACTATTTCAAGAAAATAAGCACAACAATGTGCAATACCAATACTAACCATCAACTGTAATGACTGAAACACAGTTGTAATCAAATTTCTCAAGGTTGTGTTTTAGAGATCATGTTTCCCTGTCAATTTATTCTTGGAGTAAATACACCTTGGTTTATCCGCATTCAGTGCCTTGCATTTTGAGCCACTAGAAGACTATTCTTAAAGCCCTGCAATAATGAGAAAATGTGATAAACGAGTGCTGAAATGGTTCAAATACTAAGACAGGTGGTACTGAAAACAATAAGATTAGTGCATTTGCTGGTTGAAGAAAATGATTATTTAATAAATACTGGTACTTATAAATGAATGAGTACATACAAGAAACTTTATTTATTTACAAAAACTTTATTTTAAGTCGATTACATGAGCACTCAGTAAGTTTTTAACCCAAACCAGTATTTAAGCATACCGTAAGAACGTCCGATTTTTTTCGGGTAAAAATCCTCGACGTCATTCAACAGATCGGCCCATGCCCAGACAAATTCATTCTCGTGGAGGTTATTTTTCAACAAAGTTGAATAAACGTAATAATAAATGTTGACGAGATGATAAAATACTCGTCTTCTTGAAGATCTTCTTACTTTCGTTTTGCAAAATTGTAACGGATGTGTACACAATCAACTTTTACCCGGCGGTACTTGATAGTCGATACACGTGACGAATAATACGCGGGAACCAGAATACTACACGCCGTTATTGAACGGATATCGGTAAAAATATGCGGCACCAGAAAAAAAAAATAAAAAAAAATGGTCGGCGAGAGCAAATAAAATTTTTCGGAGCGCAGCGTTTTTTTAGGGTCGGTCGGGAGACAGCAAACAAAGCTATTTTTAATTTAGGCCTAAAATGTCAAAGGTTTAACAAAATATTCAAACATTATATCTTCACGGTAAGAAAAATAGTTAAAATTACACAACATATATAGTCAACCTGGGCAGTGCTGCATACCATACTCTAAAACAGCGACAATGTAATGGGTTTATCTCACAAGAGCGTACAGCTATAGGCCTACCCATGAAATGCAAGCTCATCCTAACACAAGGACAGAACCATCAGTAGGCATGCAAATTACATAGCTTACAGGTGTTTTTGTTTTTTTAGATACAAACCGTTTTGTTACGGAATGCCGTTAGGGCCATCGCCTATGAATGTGTTGATCTGAAACGCGATAGTCGATAGTACGATGGTGAAAACGCGAAATCACGAAACTACGATGGTGAAAACGCGAAATTACGATGATGAAAACGCGATAGTACGATGATGAAAACGCGACAGTATGATACTACGATGATGAAAATGCGATAAACTTTCGTGTTTTCACCATCGTACTGTCGCGTTTTCACCATCGTAGTTTCGTGATTTCGCGTTTTCACCATCGTAGTTTCGTGATTTCGCGTTTTCATCATCGTACTGTCGTGTTTTCATCATCGTACTATCGCGTTTTCACCATCGTACTATCGCGTTTTCATCATCGTACTGTCGTGTTTTCATCATCGTACTATCGCGTTTTCACCGTCGTACTGTCGTGTTTTCATCATCGTACTATCGCGTTTTCATCATCGTACTATCGCGTTTTCATCATCGTACTATCGCGTTTTCACCATCGTAGTTTCGTGATTTCGTGTTTTCACCATCTTACTATCGACTATCGCGTTTCAGATTAACACATTCATAGGCGATGGCCCTAACGGCATTCCGGAATGCCGTTAGGGCCATCGCCTATGAATGGTTTGATCTGAAACGCGATACTCGACAGTACGATGATGAAAACGCGAAATCACGAAACTACGATGGTGAAAACGCGACAGTACGATGGTGAAAACACGATAGTTTATCGCGTTTTCATCATCGTAGTATCGTACTGTCGCGTTTTCATCATCGTACTATCGCGTTTTCATCATCGTGCTTTCGCGTTTTCACCATCGTAGTTTCGTGATTTCGCGTTTTCACCATCGTACTATCGACTATCGCGTTTTAGATCAACACATTCATAGGCGATGGCCCTAACGGCATTCCGTATTTTGTTCACTTTATATTGAACGTTTTCACTAGCATCGGTCTATTATGATATGAAATGCGATATTCCTAATTTTGTTAGCCAGTCAAATCTCTAAGGGGCCTGTTCTGAAAGGCGGCCTGTACGTACAGGTTAAATCGCTCTGGTTGCTGATACAGGTACTGGAAATAAAATTATGGGTTTAAAACGCATTTTCAAAACTGTCACGAAAATTATCATGAATGTGGTGGCATGCTGCTTTAATTTTTTTTAAAAATGACAACGTTCGGAATAGGTACTTTAAGTCGTTAAAATGATGCCAATCAATTGCCAGTGAGTCAATGAATAGAATTTGCCATTTGAAAGACCCTGGTCGATCACTTCATTTATTTTGTACTATAGCGTTACATAAAAATTTCGTGACCAAGGTGAAGGGTTGATATATGAAGTTAACCTTGTATAATCTGCTGATGTGACATAAAATCATCAAACACCGTGAGTAATAGCACAATTGCATGGACAATATGCGCGAAATATTCGCAAGATGCACAGAAGTCGCTAAACTTTTTCGGTGCTTTCCGCCAATCTTCGGAAAAGAAGAAATATAATTAGTGATAGTCGGATATTTGAGTTAAGAAGATCTAACAGTTTCATTGTGTGCGCCTGAATGCTAAACATTGCTTTAATATTATTAAGATTTCCGTCACGTGCTTCATCTTTGGTATCTATCACATGTCTTAAAAAATCAGGATGACAAATTGCATGACTCACAAGAATAATAATATTTATTTTGTTTATACGCGAGGTATAATCACGTGCTGAAAGCATATGCATTATAAGAATAAATTATGCAAAAAAAAAAAAAAAAAAATTATACCGCGACGGCATTTTTAATTTATAATTTAAATATCACGCGCACCGCACCGACATAAATCGTTTTTCAAACTACTACGATATTTTAATTATGATCATAAAGCAACAATAATTATTAAATGGCCAATCAGAAAGAAGATTTGAAACATAAACACGACGTTTACCAAGAGAATGTGGAACAGTCTATTTTAAAGCTATTTTAAAGGTCTTAGAAGATATCAATTAAATCATCAAAAGTGAGCTACCAACAGTACTAGTTGGGTTTAGGCTGGTAAGACACCACGGAAGTGCAGACTGGATTGGCTCTGTACTGGTGGTATTGACTAACCATTTTTGGTTCCAGCATGTCAAGTGTGAAAAACAAGTTCGAGCGACTGACGGAAGTGGCCCGCTACTCTGCAGAAAGGTTCGATTGAACTTTATAAGAGTTATAGAGCAAGTTGCATAGCAGCAACGCATTCTGGTATAATTCAACTGGGCGCGAGTTCGATCCTATACATGATAAAATTTAATAAATTTTAGATTATAATTTCTTATAATGTTTCGGATTCGACATTGTCAGAGATTTTGCCGGTGCATTACAAGATACGATATTCATTTATTTCATTATCAAAAGGCTAATAAGCCCATGATGAGGACAACTTATTACATACATACATACAACCATATGCATGATGTTGTTTCTTCAGAATGAAGAATGTTAAAGTATGGGCTATTTCTCGGGGTGGTTAGAGGGCATTTATAATCACAATTGAATTATGCATTATTTTTATATAACCACAGATAACTAAACCTGTCTAATTTCACCCAGTACAACCAATCACATTAATATACAAGATTATCTATTTTTAGAAGAAGAAATAAACAAAAAAAGCAACTACTGTATAACTATGTGATCAATAAAGGACACAGCCTTCAACTCGTGAACTAAAACTAAACTTATGTGCCGTATTTATAATACAATATATACTATCATTTTACCATCGCTTATAAACTATCGGATTATTTGAGCCGTGTCACGACAAAACCAACGTGATGCGTTTGCGACCAGCATGGATCCAGACCAGCCTGCGAATCCGCGCAGTCTGATCAGGATACATGCTGTTCGCTATCAATTTCTCTACTTGTTATAGGGTTTGTAAGCGAACAGCATGGATCCTGATCAGACTGCGCGGATGCGCAGGCTGGTCTGGATCCATGCTGGTCGCAAGCCCATTATGTTGGTTATGTCGTGACACGGCTCATTTATCTCCAAGGTCAAGTTTAAATTTAAGCTATGCGGCTTGTGATTGAAGGTCAGGTCACTGCGTGGTCAGTTTGAAGTACAACATAATGTAAAGATCAATGTTTCAAGTCTAAATCATAAGTCGAACTCGCCGTTTTTATAAGACTTTAATTAGTGCTGTCATTTTAAAAATGCATTTGATTTACACAGCCCAAGAGTGTTACTTTAATCATATTACATTTAATTAAGTACTTCCTTCAAAATATAAAACTTTGAATCTTACAAAGTACAAGCCTATCATAATTTAAGGCAAGTGATTTCATCTTACATGATCAGGAGCGGGTCCTAGCTACATGTAGGTTTCTTACAAGAGGGGATGGCGGGGAGGGGGTCGCAAAATTTCGACAAGAGGAAGATATAATAATATATAATAATTTTTTATAAAATCTTCCGATTTTCCAATTTTTGTAACCATAACAATGCTAGAATTTCACATTTTTCAAAGTCATTCATTGAGTTGTTGCAAATATGTAAAAGAGTATACACTGAAAGTCAAGAATTGTGTTAACCTGCCTTGATAACCATGAAGCCCCCAAAAGGACTATTTTTGTGACACATTTCAAAGTGCAGTAAATTTATTATTATTAGATCATGCATCTAAAGTTCATGAGCTTATTTCTTTTGAAATAGGGTACATGTATCAGTCTAATATATGTATTTTATTTAAGGATTAAAACCTTGTTTTACTGCATTTTTGGCAGCTCAAACAGTGTCCCTTGATTAAACCAGAGACCTTACCCCCTGTGTTACTTAAACACAACCTGTCAACTCTTGAATATTAATCACTTGCTATATATATCAAAGGGAAATAATTCAATCACCTTTATCATTTTATATACACATATTTACGTCCCCTTACGAACGGTAAATAAGTATTTTGGAGACATTATAATGTTATCCACCGAATGCTCATATTGTTTTGACTTTTTTTCTTTTTATTTCTAAATTTAAATTTCGAAAGCGCTTATATTGTTGTTTAAACTACGCAAGGAAACAAGACAGAATGATAATAAAGTGCAGTGTTCCAGTCAAGGAAGTAACCTATATTGACAAACGGATGTAAGCCCTTTTCCTTGAAACTTCGGAGAATATTGGTCGGACCGCATTATAAAATAGAATGTTAACGATCTAATTTGCGAAGAGGTTATGTGAACAAGACCTTTAACAACAAAATCAGCCTCATTATAGACTATAAGTTTGAGATATTGAGTACTTATTATGAATGTACTTTTGTAAATAATAAATGCATATTTTGGTTAGGGTATCTTCTGTCTATCTATCTATGGATATAGGTTCGAGTTCTACTTTGTTCATGCACACATATTGACAAACGACTCAAGTTATTGGTAGTTTCAGGGTTGCGAACGAAAGTATGGACAAATAAGCCTCATTACGTCTTCACAATTGTGCTAAAATAGATAATACTCAAACTTCAGCATTGTACATGTATTTATTCTTGTTAATATTAACATTATCATGACATCACATTGCGCCCACCATATAGCCGGTGAAAGCCGTTTTACACCACCCATCTATTATATCTCCATGATAACTGCCTTCCTTAATCCAAACTTGAGAGCCCTGCTCTAACTGCAGAGCCCATTCTTTAGAGACAGACTGATAGTCAATCGCACCATGGGCACCGACATATGCTGTGTCCAATCTGTTTCCGTCTTTAACAAGATCTAGTAATTTGCTCGTTTCTGAACGTGCCATAGCAGCTAAATGGAACACATATAATCCCCTCCGCGGGGCAGTAAAAACGCCAGAATGGGAATTGTAGCCGTGACCTACGTTTGTAAATACTTTGTCGAAAATGATTGTCTGATCACGTTCATATTTGACGTCTCCAGACACCGACAAACATGCCGTAAAACCGATTGCCGTGTTACCTGAAATGAAAAACATGAATTAGGTGAAGTGTGCCAGAGCACAGTTCAGCCACCGCATCGCTCCTGGGCAGGCTGTCAAGCAGTTTACCAGTACTAGTTCCCTTCACTTTTGCAAGGAACTGATTACTTCTGTACATACAAGAGCAGAGGTACAGTGCAAATGACCGTAGAAAAGAGTTCATGATCAATCACAACAAAAGTGACCTGCGTCGTCCGGGAACCTAATAGATTCAAAGTCCACCGCTCTACTTATCAGAGCTAACCGGGCGTTTTTAGGTAAAGTGTTCAATCATTAACTTTTTTGTATAAATCCAGTGTATCACGATACAAGATGTCATTTTTATAATTATGTATCATCGCTGTATGAAAAGAGCGATCTTCATGCAGTGACAGCAATCATTATGTAAAGCCATGATCGTTAGGAAAAATTATCCGTCTTAGATTAGAAATTGAAAGATAACCGACTAACGCGAAAATTATCCTAATCACTGATTGTGTATACCTTTAAAGGTACAAATGTAAACCAAGCTATATTCTAAATGTGTACCAAGATGGCATAAACTATAAGTATTCTAAAATGATATAGTTCCAGATGGAATAAATCTTAGATTCTAGTATACAATGGCGGCATTATACATATAACATAAGTAATCTTTACTAGGATATTTTTTTCTATGAATATGGGATTTATTTTAATCGGGTGGAATGAAAATAAATATTTCACAAGTTGCGGTAGCCACGAGTGAAATATGATAATTTTCACATCATGATCGAGATGAAAATCGCATCATCTGCTCGTTACATACTTTTTTGACCTAACGATTAGATTGACTTCCTTATATTTATATTTGATATGAATTTTGAAGAAAAAAGTCTGGAAAGACACCAGTGAAAATACGGAAAACATGTTTCATTGCAGAGAAAAAAATATATTTTTACAATGAAAATATGAAAATGAAAATATGCATTTTATTTCATCCATGTATATGTTAGTGTTCATCCGTGCTGTTCTACAGAAATTAGAAACTTCGACGGGAGCGATAGCGACAGGAGAATGTTTCTAATTTCTGTAGAACAGCACGGATGAATACTAACATATTTAGTGTCAAGCTTTATTTGGCCCCATTATCATTCACTGTATTACGCCACTACGCGGTTTTATGAAGTACTATGAAAAATAGAAGTCGACTATGGACGGAATTCGATATAGTATCGACTTTTGTACTTCTATGAAAATTAACGCACATCTTTTTTAAGAAATACAGCGTTTTCATTGGATGACAAATAAAGTTGGACACTAAACTGCTGTATAATTCATTTTTAAGTATAAATTATAATAAATTTGCATTATTTAAAATTACAACTTTACCCTGGCAGCATAATACCTGAATTTTAGTAAACTCAGATGACATTATTCCATGTAACATTTCGCAGATCGCAAACTTTTTAGAAATAATGGTACAGTAATTAAGTATACCCAGTCAGTATATGATACTACAAAATTGCCATAATTATGCACAGATGGTATAAAACCTGATCAAACATATTACTCAGATGGTGTATTCAAATTTAAGTTTATCAAGATGGCATAATACCAGAATGTATTTTGCTTTAACATACCATTGGTAATGGATCGCGTGTTAGCCAAGTTTAATTTTTTGTTGCCGTTGTCTTGGTGGGCAGAGATTGTTTTCTGAAGTACCTAAAATAACAACATCAATAACATAAACATTTAACACATCTATAGGTAAATATGGAAGATATGTTCAAGTTATTATATATATAATGCATTGTTGAGTATAACACTGACCTCTATTGGACGAGTACTTAGTCAAACCTTTATTGAACACTGGCCCGAACCGAGTGATATATATATATAGATGTTGTAGATGCAGTGTACACTTTACAGGAAAAAGTACGCATTTTATCTAAACCATCTTTTATCTCTTAGTATGTGTTTTTATAAGTACAGTTACAGTAATTTAGTATTTTGTATGGAAATAAAAAACAACAACAACTAAAGTTTTGTTTACGTGTTTGCTATGACAGTTGGTTAATATCCAATGCTACATACGCCCGACATGTTTTATATCAAATATTTATACCTTGTTTATTTAAACACATTTTTGCCCTGTTCTAAGACGAAACAATATTCATTTTAAAGCAGCGTACCTGCAGATTGATGCATTTTTTTCATGAAAATTTTGAAAATGTATTTAAAAGTAAAAATTAATATTGTGTGTAAACATGGAAAGTAACAAACACATTGCAAAAAAAGGTCAACATCTGCAAAAATAGCCTTTACTGCGTCAGTCTTGAATTGTTTTTACTTAAGTAGTACATTTTTCTCATGTTTGATATTATTGAAACAGCTTGGCTCATCTGGATGTATGCAGCTTTAAAAAGCATAACATGCTATATATTGAACTTTTCTTAATATTAAAAAAAACTGGCCTATATAGTAAACTAGGCTTGGAACCAAACATTTTTGTCTCAGACTAGGCCAAGCGACGTCACGTGATAAAGCACGTGTATGACGTGAAACAGAGTATAAGAAACAAAGCAGGTACCTGTATTTGTTTTTCAGCTGCCTTAAGTCTTTCTAGAATACCGTTGATCGTGTTCTTCCCTTTGAAGTTATCATCGGACCCTTTAACGCAAAAACAGGTTTGAACATTTAGAAAATAAACGACCGAAAATAGAAATAGTATTTTCATTTTGTATCTAACTCGACACTGACTTTACATACGTTCGGTAAACGTTTATATAGAGAATCTATGACACGTGCTGGTCATTTTATTGTCGGTACTCTATTTTTAGTAAACCTCTTTATACTAGTAACATAATTTTTATTTTTGTATAAATATTAACAGAAATGTGCATTTTTTTAAAAAGAAAAGAAATAGTGTGACGGCCTTCGTTGCAATAACAAGAAAACAATTACCAGAAATATTAGAAATGGTGCTAGATTTACTGCATGTGCTATGAAATTAAGAACAGCACTGCGTCCACCTTAACGTAAGTAATAGTGTCATTTTTAAGTGTTATAATTCTATGCATGTATTAACCAATTCATATTTTATTGTTGTATGTAGTAAAATTGGTGTATATGTTGTTGTTTGTTTTTTCCCTTTTTATATCTTTTTCCTTGTATTGTTTGTTTTGAAAAAAAATTAAATAAACAATAATAATAAGAATAATCTAGAGACACACTACTTTGAATTTAAACATGCGTTCCGAGCTTAGCATATTTTGTAATATATCAATCAATATTTATCTTCGGTAACCCGGGCTTTATAATCATAATGGAATGTGAACCATGAATTCTCACAATGATGTCATTGAAGGTATTTCGATTCGTTTTTGTATTGTTTGTTGTTGTTGTTGTTTTTTATTCACTTATTTTTTATATTCATTCATTCATTCATTCATTCATTCATTCATTCATTCATTCATTCATTCATTCATTCATTCATTCATTCATTCATTCATTCATTGCTAGTATGCTACATTTCTATTTTAAGTAAGCCCTGAGATGAAGAATTTATAAAACTTAAAGTCACAAGTGATGCCTAACTAACTATTCAATTAAAGTCCTTATCTCTTCTCGTTAAAAGTCATTTAAGAATCATCATGTATGAAAATTACTAAACACCGAAACGTCACTTGTTTTCGTAGAAATGGCTTACGCAAAAGAGTCCAAAATATCAAAACATTATCTTAACTGATCAGTACTGAACTTCACGAACTTGTACTCTTTGAGCACATGTTTAATCTCTCATCACTATCATAGATAATAATCTGTGCCCGTATAATAAGGTTATACGAATTACTATGAACTTTATAAGGTAAAACAAAACAAAGGGATATGCTTCGCATCATATGGTGAATTTTACTATGTATCGTAATGTAATATAATATTTAATGTTCGGAAATTTTCATTTATTTGAAAAATTGAACGGATAAAAGAATAAATGGGAATCGCAAATATTTGATGAAAGTTTTCTGTGAAAAACTGGAAGCATATCGCAAAATCATTCAGTGAATTACTGAATTCAAAATGAATAGGTCACATTCTGGCAATTGGTAACTTTTAAGGACACGAATGGTGGCATGTTTTGGGTCCGTACTCTCAGTACTTGGAAAGGCGGATTGACTACCATCATCAAGTCTAGAATACAAGATGAAGTATATACATGTAACGTTAACTTTATAAAACAACCTCTCTATGCCGTTTATTAACATGAAAATTAACTCTTGTCGACGGCTTCGTAAGCTAGCACTCCACATTAAATTCCAAGCTCTTGCCTTCAATGTCCTATACACTTTTCTTTTTATTCTGATCTCAATCTCCAAAACCCGAGAGGAAAAGACATCTTTTTGAGAGCATATTAGTCATAACATTTTAAATCTATAATAAAATTATCCCATGTATACAATAGCCAGATAATTTAAAAACTTGCAATCTCCAAAATAGGCTATGGTATCTGCAAGAAAGGGCTACAGAAACACTTTCTCTGCCTTAGCAAAACCATATACATGAAAAAAATATAACAATTAAACTGGTTCTTTGCCTAGAAGATTTTTGTGTTGTAGCTTAAAGTTTGTTACCCGTGACATTTGTTAACATCTGACTAGACGGAGCGAGTTAAATGCGTTCGAAAATTACTGATAATGTTTTCCAGTCGACGTTTTTCTAATATCGCGGCCTGTTATGACTGCTTCTACTTTGTTTTTATTTGTTTGGTGTAAGTATACAACAAAAGAAAAACATATGAACAATTATAAACCTTTATTTTAAGAGTATATAGATTATGAGATATATATAATAATCAAATTATAAATTCAGGCACTTTAATAAATCTGTTAAGCAAAAAAAAGGAAGATAGTTTACATGTATAGTAGAGATGATACGGGTTTCTTTAGAAGTTTATTTACACAAAATACCTTTGTTGGTTGTGTTAAAGTCGCACTAACATGGTAAAGTTCATATGGCGTACTTGACAAGCTTTACTGGTGAAGGAGCACCTCGAATGCCCCTTCAAGCATTATTTCAAGCGCAGGCAAGTACCTGATTAGAACATATGAATTCTGTTATCTAGCTAGCGAGTTTCATAACATGAAAGGTCCCTAGTGGGATTTGAACCGGCAGCTATAATTAAGGGGAAGGTTGGTTGTAGTTAGACACCTTAACCCCTCGGTCACGGCCGCGTATTTAACACAAGAAATGTGATACAAAAAATAAATTAGTTAACATTTGCTAACGGTTCGTTTTTTAAAACAGTTCTCTGCCTACTGCCCTGTAACTTCCTAGAACTGTTGATCATACCATTAACTAGAACAGCAACAAGAAGTCCAATTATCAGTGGACCGCATGCTGCACATAAAGAAGCCACTATTTGGCCTTCAGTAGTTACCGGAAACATATCGCCATAACCCACGGTTGTCATTGTTATAACTGCCCACCAGAACGCGTCTGGAATACTTTGATATTTTGTTTCATAACCAGGAAACTCAGCGCTGTATATTACAGTTCCCCAGAATACAACAAGAATGGATGAAAGGAAAGTAATAAAAATCAACTGCCCAAAGCAAGACTTTAAAGTGTACACGAAAACGTCCGTTCCAAGCATTAACTTAAAATGTTTAAAAATTCTTAAAAGACGGAGGATACGGAAAATTCTCAAAACACAGAAAACCCTGAAGACAGACAAATTTTCCGCTACAAGAAGTTCAATGACAAAGGACAGCCACTCTGGAAGGATAGCCAAGAAATCTATTATACCAAGGAAAGACAAAATGAAGTTTTTCCTGTTTGGTGAATACAACAGTCGCAAGATGTATTCTACGGTAAAGAATAAACAGCATACTAAAGATATGATGGTAGCCTCAAAAAGTACAACCGGTTCTTTAGTGACTTTATTATAGCCCCGGTCCACAGTGGTACTGGTTTCCACAGTTGAAACAGTTTGCAAATATGGTGTTGTTGCAGCAACGAAAATCTGATATCCCGGCATATATCTTCGCCCATATTGATGTTTCCGGGTTGCTAAGAATATTCCAGATTTTGTTTCCCGTTCCAGTGTGAGGAGACATATTTCTGTTTTCAGTCACACCTGCTAAATGTCCATTTGTAGAACGAGGCTGAAAAAATAGACAAATGTAAAAATATTCATATAATACATAACAAACAAATAATATACAATTCCCAGCTTTATATTCGTAAATAACTTCATTTTTTTCAGTGGAAGATCCAGAGACCGAGATATGTTGAACTTCGATACCTTGGCATGTGTTTGTTTTGTAAACACTGATAAAGTCTACCATTTTTTCTATTTCCATCTCAAATACACCAGAATGTTGAAACACTTGTATGACAGCTCCCTATTTGTATTTTTAATAAACTATTTATAAAACTGACTTCCAAACAATAATTAATACACAATTAGATGAGTATTTTGTAGATCTATACTTTAAGTACACCAAACTAAAAGGCTTTTGAGAAATACAACTAAAAGTATTTCTGAGTCATAATGGACCTTAAATCCAGCAGATGTATGGATTAATATACCTACCAATGAAATGTCCCCGCTGATCATCACTTCCAAATCAGGAGTCAATCCCCAAAACATTAGTTCATTCCTAACAAGCGGACCATCGATGTGTGACGGGATGAAAACCTTACCAGTTCGTAAAAAGTTTAACACTATCTGAAAAAATGATACATCAGTCAATATGACTTAACTTTATTAATAAGAACAAAAACACATAGAATCGTTTCTATACAATGCATGCTGTTTTGAATGACATTCATCATCAATGGGAACGTTTTCAGTATCTTACTCGGTCATTTATTGTGTAAAATCGCAAGCATAACTTTTGAAGATCATCATCAAATGATCTTACTCGGTTATTCGGGTAAAATCCCAATCATATCATAAATTCATCAATTGATTTTACTCGGTCATTATCGGGTAAAACCGTACCAATGATACGTTCTAATTCTAAAACAATACGTAAACAACACGTTTACTTTGAAAACATTACTGTTTTATAGAACAGAAAAGAATGAATTCATGTTCCAACCTTAAAAGCATCAGGGTCTCTATCAAAGAAGTAGTCATTTTTCCCAGGTCTATGATTAGCCTCCAAAAAGCTTTCGTCTGTCAGAGGACCGCTTTTAATTCGCATTATTGTAGATCTGTAATGATATAATAGGTTGTCTTCCTTTATTAATCATGGTGTTAAAGTAATACATTCATCTTATTATTTCGAAAAAATATACATGTAGGTACAAAATTCAACCGCAGATGTGATACTTGCTTGATTTGGCGACTTTAACGGATCCATTTTCATTATTCGTAGACACCATACATCGTTTATTAAAACAATTAATGTTAACAACATAAAACAGTTTCTTGAAGTCTTTTTTATAGCATTATCAAATCCCAATTACATGTATTATTGTAAATGATTAAAGGAATGTAATTGTTTGTATGATTTTATATTGCATGTACACATTATAAGACACAAAATAAATGTACCTATAAGTTTCGAATATAACTCCTCCAATATTAAAGGTCAGCGTTTCATTTCCAGAATCATTTCCTTCCAGAAGTCTGTTAGATTCAATTGCAGACGACATACTGTTTTCCATACTCATTACCGTTGTTATATTTCATTTCCTGGCATAAATTTAAGTGTTGATATCTCACTGACTGTTCTAAAATCAGGTTTGGATTTCTTCCTTTATGATCTAAATTCAGATATTGATACCTCACGAGTTAACTTAAATCCAAAGGTTTTTTACCGACTGATCGTTGTTGACCCTGCCTTTAACAGTTGTTTAGCTGAACTCGAATCTGAAAACAATCGTAAATCTGCCTTATCTTTCAAATAATCCGTAACAAGTCTTAGAAATTAGCAAGGATTTGTTGCATTTTATATAAATGATCAAGGCTGAATATAATAAACTTGACGTAGTTCTATATAATTATATATATTGAGACACTTACTAGTATGATTGTCGAACCGACGATTGTTTATTGTGCTGAAATTATAGTAAATCCTCTGATTGTATGTAATAATTATATATAATTTCAGCAGTTTACATAAAATTAGAGGAAAATGTAACAACTCACGGCTGTTCTCTATAAAACATTAACGTGAAGTAAACAATAACCAATATAATAGTGCATAATGCACAAAACCTGACTGATGCTTATACTCTTTGTAGATTTATACTTACTTGTCAATATCAATGCATTTATTAGAACAGAACACAACAGTGATTCTACAGAGGCTAAAAGCCTGTTATTTTTCCATATAATCCGATAGCATAAGTATAACTGAAATATAAAATAAAATTAATGTTATAGTAGACGCAACTGATGAAGACATCATTGAATATATAAATTAAACGTATGATATAGCATAAAATGTTAACACCATTAAAGTTGTAGAAGTGTGCAATTATTAGGGGAGAGAATGTGTAAGGGGCCGGCTAGCTCAGCCGGTAGACCAACATACCGGTAATACGAGGGTCCCGGGTTCGAATTCAGGTCAGACTTACGTTACCGCCACGCCTTGGGACAATAGTTCTAATGCCATCTTATCAAATGTTTACAGGCCCGAGATATACGACCTTGGTCAAATAGTTTTCGATTATATACATATAAGTGTATTTCCATTCAAAAACGTACACACTCAAGTCCATCGGTTCAGAAAACACAACCTAGTAGGTAAATATGAAGTAAGTGAAATGTATCCGATTTATATAAAAACACACAAACAAAAACAAACCCAGACGTTCTATCTAAACATGATGTGTACATACTCCAAAACCTAATTAGCCTGTTTATGCTGTTGCTGAATATTGTAAAATGCTTTAGATATATCAAGTCAAAGATATTACACTAAATTTCACATTTATCCGGGAATATTCCGTAAACCTTAATTAATGAACATGGAAACAGCACACTATAATATCAGTTTGAAGCAACAAACTTTTTACAGCAGATTTTAAGATGATTATGCTTTTGTAACTATTTTTACTCTTTCAATGAAGTCAGCAGACATGCGCAGCGTTTCTGTCTTGTATAAAGGTATGCTTCAAGGTCGCGATAGCAGCATTTCAATATATCTTCGCTTTGGTAACGTTATTTTCTAGGCTCAGTCGGTAATGTAGAACCGAATAAAAATCAAAGCAACTATTAAGAGGTACAAATGTGACTAAGTTCTTTACATCTTTATAAACATTTAACTATATGATATAATATGACCCCTCAAATAATATATAGAACAGCGGTTCCAACGGATTTGTTTATTACCTTATTTTAAGGACTCTCTAATACAGTTTTCAGGCAAAATAAAAAAAAAAGATTCATAGTACTCATTCAAACTTTATACGATTTTAAGATAGTAAGATAAAAGAATTATTGTGAACGAACATGATCGAGCGTCGACCTTCTCAATTTTGACTTAAATGCCCTTGAATTCGATTATTGGCACGTGTAAGAACAAATAACTAAGATGTGATCGACACCTCGATGTTTTGGCTAAAATTTTCTTGAAATAACCATAGATCGTACAAAGTGTAAAATTCTGTTCTGACAGTTACTATAAGGGAGACAACTTTGGTTTTTTTATTCATATCTTACAGCAGTCTCCTACGCAGTGATCTCTCCTTATCAGTTACACAGAGATAAATGGTACACTAATAAATCACGATTACAATCATTTGATCCTAATTGTATTTTGATTGCTTTATGATAACTAAAATAGTTTGTATTAGACTAAATTTTTAATACAGTCATGTAGTACATAAACAAAATGTAAAACATTTGCTTTAATGCAAAGAAACGGTCCTGTTTTTGGGATAAACTTGTGTAATAGTATTACAAGTCCAAGAATTATCGGATTAAAATAAGTCTTAATTTGAGGATCAAAATCAATATTTTAATCAACTGTTAAATGCTCATATCTTGTAAAGTATTGCAGAATTGATATATTATGAATATGCATTTTCAAGTCCTCTCCTATCAAGCCAAAGTTTGATATTAAATCTATGAAGATATTGTTTAGAGAATGTTTGAGTTTTTAATTTTGATCCTGATCTTGATCCTGAAATCATATTGAACATGGATTTACCTTTAAATTGTTGATCAGTGTTTCTGCTTCGGCTGAAAAAAAAAACGCGACCTTGCTAGGGAACGTGTTCTAAGCACTGACACTTCTAGTTCCACCACAAGTGATTTTAAAGTTTTCAATAAACGTGGTCTTCATTTTATTCATGTAAACACTCGAAGTCTTTTACCAAAACTACATGAAATTAATTCTGTAGCTCGTAGATCTAGAGCCGCATGTATTTGTGTTTCCGAAACATGGTTAGATGACTCAGTTCCAGATTCTTAAGTTAACATCGACAACTATTGTATTCAGCGCAGGGATCGAAACAGACAAGGGGTGGCGTTTGTATTTATATCAGGAAGGATTTATCCTACAACACACGTGATGATCTCAAGCATGAAGAATTAGAAGCTACATGGATTGATATACTTTTACCAAAATCAAAACCTATCTTATGTGGTGTTATTTATAGACCTCCTGTGCAACTAAACTTTTATACAATTTTAGACTCTTTATGCTCGTCAAGTAGTGACTTTTTACAATGTGAATCTATAATTTTAGGAGATTTTAATACAGATGTGTCTAAAGTTAAGTCTTATCCTCTTTTGCAATGTTTTAAGTCATTTATTAATATGTTTCATTACAAACAATTGATCTCAGAACCTACTAGAGTTAGTATTACAAGTGCAACTATTATTGACTTGATATTGGTGTCTGATAATGATAAAATTACTCAGTCAGGTGTAATTCATACTTCATTTAGTGATCATAGCTTAATATTTTGTACAAGAAAAGTCAGTAAAATTCCTCTTTATTTTCATAACAATGTCACTTTAAGATCTTTGAAAAATTATAACAAAGATAACTTTCAAGCTAGTCTTCTAGATACTGACTGATCTCCTGTTTTGCTAAGTGATAATGTAAATGATGCCTGGAATATATTTAAACAGTTACTTTTATCTGTGATAGACAATATAGCACCTGTGAAACAGACCAGAATTAAACAGAGAACAGAACCATGGATTGACTCAGACATTCTTAGTGTAATTAATGAAAGGGATAAAGCTTTTAATAAATATAAATGTGATAGAAACTGTGATAATTATGATTCATTTAAGACTCTCAAGAACAAAGTTCAGTATCTTGTTGCCAAAGCAAAAAAGGAATATTTTACTAATACACTGGATGAGAACAAAAATGACTCAACCTCTTTATGGAAGACTGTTAAAAATCTTGGTTTGCCTTCCAAGAAGGGTTCATCTTCAACCAGTTCAAATATTTGTTTAAATATTGATGATAATGTGTGTTTTGAAAAGAAACCTATTGCTGAATCATTTAACAAAATTTTATACAACAGTTGCATGTAAACTTGTTGAAAAGTTGCCAGAAAGTATGCATAAATTTGGTACGAATTTTGTTAATACTTTTTATGCAAACAAGGGTGTTTTTGCAAACAGTTTTTCTTTTTCCATTGTTTCTGAAAGTAAAGTTCTTAAATACTTAACTTCATTAGGTGTCAAAAAAGCTACTGGCTTAGATGGTATACCCTCACGTTTTATCAGAGATGGATCCCCAGTTATTGCTAGTCCATTAGCTCATATCATAAACTTATCCCTTATACAAGGTCAAGTCCCTGATGATCTTAAATCTGCAAGAGTTGTTCCCCTCTATAAAAAGAACGACAAATTGTCTGTTGGTAATTACCGGCCTGTGTCCATTTTAAATGTTGTATCTAAAATCCTTGAAAAGGTGGTTTATGACCAGGTTGAAGCTTATTTTAAGGATAAAGATCTGCTGTATAAATTTCAATCAGGTTTCAGGAGTGGCTTCTCTACTGATACTTGTCTGATTCACCTTACAGACTTTATCAGGTATGAAAATGATAAAGGTAATGTTGTTGGTATGGTGCTGCTGGATTTGCAGAAAGCGTTTGACACAGTCGACCATTCCATTCTTTTAATGAAACTGCAAGCATCAGGTCTTAGTATTGACGTCCTAAATTGGTTCAAATCATATTTATCAGATAGACAGCAGCTTGTAGATGTCTCTGGTACTTATTCTTCCAATTCCAAAATAACATGTGGTGTTCCTCAGGGCTCAATCCTTGGACCCCTTCTCTTTTTAATTTATGTAAATGATATGTCAGCTGTGGTCAAAAATAAATTGCTTTTGTATGCTGATGATTCTGGTATCCTTGTATCTGGTAAAAGTTTGTCTGTTGTTGAAAAGGCATTGACAGATGATATGGAATTGGTCAGCCAATGGTTAGTGGACAATAAGTTATCATTGCATTTGGGTAAAACCGAGTCAATTTTATTTGGGTCCAGGCAAAAACTTAGGTCACAATCTAACCTGCATATAACCTGTTCTGGTACATCCATTGAATCAACTTCATCTATCAAGTATCTTGGGATTACTATAGACCAAAATCTGTCATTTTGCGCCATGGCCGAGTCTGTTCTTAAGAAGGCCAACTCTCGGTTAAAATTTCTTTACCGCAAGAAAGAGTTTCTTACTCAGCATACCAAGAAACTTCTGGTTATGTCTCTTATTCAGTGTCACTATGATTACGCATGCTATGTTTGGTATAATAGCTTGACACAGTCTTTAAAAAATAAGTTACAAACTTGTCAAAACAAAATAATGAGATTTGTACTTGACTTGGACTCTAGAACCCACATTGACCCATCCCACTTTAAGTCCCTTAACTGGTTACCGGTCCACAAAAGAGTTGAACAGATAATGTTGTGTCATGTTTTTAAGATAAGAAATGGCCTATCTCCGGATTACATGTCTGAATACTTTATTTCACAAGATTCCATTCATAATTATAGTACAAGACTTAGTCAAAAGGGTGGATATTGTCTACGTAAGGTCAAAGGCCAGGGTTCTAAATCATTTGCTTTCTCTGGTATTAAATTATGGAATGATTTACCTGTAAAGTTAACGGAGATCAACAGGTTACAAAGTTTTAAGGTTGCCATCAAATGTCATCTTATGAACAGTATTTAAATTTTTTTTAAACATTTTTTTACATATTTCGACTCAGGATTTTTAATTGTCTTCTATTTATCTTATTACAATTTTAGTAATGTGTTTTAAATCCTAGCTGTAAACAGGAGTATTATTAACTCAAGATTTGACTGTGATATACATTTTTATGATTTATTAGTATTTTTAAACATGATCATATTAAGGTTTGCCTCTCTATGTCATGCCGCCAATACAAAGGACCACAATGGAAATAAGAGCTTTTTTGCCCTTTTTTGTGTTATCCTTGGTTTTGGTGAGCATGTCATAGTTTTACTCGTATGTGATATAGTATTTAATAATGCTCATTATTTTATCCTATGTTATATTGTCAACTATGTATATGCTTCCTTTGCCGAAATAAATCTATCTATAAGCTAGCCCTAATTAGACTGACTGGGAAATGTTTACTTCATCATTAAATCATACCCTCCTTTTTATACTCGATATTTTTATTGTTGTTGTTTTTTTTGGAACTTCTTATTTAAAGAATAGAGTTGTATAAAAAAATCATTATGGGGCAATCCCAACTCTTTGTACAAAAGTATATATTGACACATATATATTTCTTATTTGTTCGCTACTATTATTGTAGTAGAAAACTTTAGTTTTATGTATCTGGCGTTTGACACGATTGCAAAACAGTTAAGCTATTTAAGAAAGAATGCGAACAATCTGGAAACAAAGTGATCCCTCATAAGCACAACAAAATTACATGAAAATTGCAGACTCGGTTTGATTGAGTCTGTACATGAGGGATAATGAATACAATAATGAATACGTGCAACATCCCTCACGCCCCTAGCACCGGCTTGAGCGGTACTCAATTCTCAACACTTAATAGTGCTGGCATCAGTGATCCCGAAGGACCAGAAAAATATAACAACACTGAAGTGAAGTACTTTAAGGTAAACCAACTTATGTATATACTTAAGTTATGTCAAACAATCACAACGCATGAATATTAGATCACGTTTTCATATGTAATGTCTGTAATATCTCTTACCACAACTGATTGTTATGCTGTAAAAACATGTATATATAGCTCGTAAAATTATTATATAATCATGTGGCGGTAAATTATTTGCACTTTTAATGGAGTGCAACTGCAATGCATCAGCACTAGTACATTACCTACATATTAAATGCACAAATTCTTGTCATACAATACAAAAACAAGACAAACTTACACCATATATCACTTAAAAGATTAATTAAACTTTCTGTACAAAAATTCTTATACCATTTAGCAATTATGGTAACATTAAGATGTCTTTTTTAAGAAACGCTTCAACCACATCTGATGTTTAATACACCATCGATAAAATAAATCAGCATGACTTAAAATGATTTAAATTATAATTTTATAACAAAAAATCATTGTTGGATCAAATTTGATCAATTTAGCCAAGTTTTCTTTTCTCGAGTCAAAAAAAACCTATATCACATCACTATTTTACTCAATCAAGTCTCGTTTTTTTTCAGGTCCGAAAACCCTGTTAAATCCTTATTGTACTCCGTCTAGCCTCTTTTACATTTTCCGAGTCCAAATATCCATATCATTTCTATATTATACTCAAATAAAAAGGTTCTGTCTAGACCTAAAAACTGATGAATGAAATAAAGAATTCTTTATACATTGTTGAATACAATACTGATTTTCCTGGACTCTTACACAACTACAAAACCTATATTGGACTAGGCTGGTGCCTAGATATAGATTTTTTGGATACTGAAAGTAACAACAGGGCTTTATGGGGTACGATATGCATTAGATGTTAACTATTATGAGACTGGACTTGACAACGAGGCTTAACCAAATAATGATTTATATTAAAACATCACGTGTTTGAAACGTAATATTGAAAATCTGACAGTTGATATGTTTCAATTTATTCAAGATGCTAGACAAAATCAATTATTCTTGGCATATACCATTAAATCAACCATAATCTATGAGCCTGTACTTAAATGATCTGCACACCAAAGGTATTCACCAGTGCTGTTCACTCGTTCTTACTTTGATTATTTTGGGTAATCCTTTTTTAAAACCTTATTTATTACATCTAAGCAGAAAAGTATCAACTTGAATACTCAAATACTCACAAACAACGATATTTACTGAAAGATATTTCATTTGGAATTAACTGAATCTGTAATCCAGTAAATTAACGTTTACATTAGATTATACTCCTATCAGTTTATTTCTTAGTCTCAGGAGGGCGTCGAAACTGGCCACAAATTCAAAAAAATGACATACTAATTCAAAATATATTTACCTCATAAAATATCATGATTGTTTCATGACAAACTTAAAAATCAATAGGATTTACGAGATGAAAACAAAAATTTACTGTAAGGCATTATCAACTTATAGGTGATCATGGTCATGATCATGAAGAAGATGTAATTTGTTTTTCAAATATACTTGTTTCTAAAGTTTAAATGATTATTAATCATACGTATATGATTATATAGGTTTTCATTATCGATGTTTCGAGGTCAAAATATTTAGGTAAAATAGACTTGAAATAAAATGTAGTTGTAGCCGTCACGCAAGTTTATTATGGTAAATGTTATTTCTAACTTACGTGTTACAAGTCATTTAAACAGAAAAGAAAATGCACTGAGATGATATTAAATGCATTTTACAGCAACCCCATCTTACTTAAAATGTGGTTCAAAAGTAATCGAGTAAACGGCTGACAGAACAGAATATTTTTCGAGAAAATATGTAATTCAAAAGGGTGTTTTTTGTATAGTTTTTGTCTATGACTTTAAAGAGAGTCGTTTTGAAATGTGAATAAAAGTCATCCTCTTTTTATCAATTTATGATTAGAATGTTGCAATATTTTTGTGAAAGCTGATTATTCTATAATGGAATGTGTGTAATAAAAAAAAGAAATAATGTCAATATTATTTAGTATCTAGAAATATCATGTATGGATGGTTTTTTGGAAAGTGTGAGATACATGATCCAATAATACGTGTTTTACGTTGTATATCATATAATAAAATGTTCTCAAAAACAAAATAGCATTATTCATAATATAAAAACTAAATCACTAAGAACTTTATCAACAATTGTTGTTTTTTTTTTTTTTTTATTTTCAAGCATAAAATTATAAATAAAATCCAAAATGATAATTTCTTTTGCTTTTTACAATATTAAAGTACTTCCGGAAAAAAATTGTCAATTGTAGACCAACCCACTTTAAAGATTTTCAAACTTCAAAATTAAACAGAATAATATGTCATGCGCAATGAGTGTTTGTTAACGCTTTGCATCATTTTAGAATTCTTGTTTAAATTGTTTATTTCTTTGCCAGTCTCTTTTTTCGTTATTTTTTATAAAAGTTACATTGGATAATAAAGGATACTTTATACAGTCAAGTTATTTTTATTCAAACATTTAAAAAACTGGATATATTAGTATATTTGAGAATTTATGTGGCAATATAGATTTCGAATTTAAATTTTTATTCTTTATTAAAGACTGGCGTAATAACTTGTTGGGCTGTGAAACGAATCGTTACAATAATAAATTCATGTGTATGTGTTACAAAAAGCTTGGAATTGTAATTTCATTGTTAAAATGAACAGCATTATGAACAAGGTATTTAAAATTTTATTATAATAGCAGAGAGGTCTGGTACTTTAGTATTTGAATTCATTTTGGAATATATTGAAACAAAATGTAGTCTTGCAAGTGAAATCAAATGTAAAAAAGAACAAGATACTTTAAACTGAATATCTATGTTGAACAATGTCAAAGCTAAAACAACATGGAAAAGGGAAACAATCTGAACCGTACGTTCCCGCCGCCCCCACCACTCCTTTCTTTCTTTGTTATTTCTATGTGAGGGTTTCAAAATTATAGATTTATAACCTTCGAAAATAGAATTATTACGTGATAATAAAACATTCAATTTATTATCTATTTTAGAAAGATTTTTTTTTCAAATGCGTCATCGGCTTTGTCTAAATAAACACATATTCATATATGTAAAATTATGTATTCTATAACGGATTTTTATTGTTGTTCATATTATTGTTTGTTTTTTTTTTATTTGGCTTGTATTTTCATAAAACAATCTTTTTTTCTTTCTTATATGCCTTTCATTTATAGTTTATATTGCTAAGAAATATCTTGATTATCAAATGTATCCACATATCATGGTTACAAATTAATTGTAAGACAGTTTTTTAAACGCAGTAATTTTTGTAGGTAAGAGTTAGTTAATTATAAAATACGTAATGAAAATGTTTTTCCTAATGAAAGCTTTAAATTGCAAAATTACCATATGAAATACCTCAAATTAATAATAATAATAATGATAATAATAATTGTAATGTATAATAATAATAATAATAATAATTAAAAAAATAATAATCATAGTAATTTATAATAATAATAATAATAATAATTATAAAAATAATGATAATAATAATAATTATAATAAAAAATGATAATAATAGCAGTAATTTATAAAAGTAAAAATAATAATAATAATAATAATAATAATTATAATAATAAAAATAAAAATAAAAATAATAATAATAATAATAATTATAATAATAATAATAAAAATTATTATAATAAAAATAATAAAAAAATTATTATAATAATAATAATAATAATTACAACAATAATAATTTACAATGATAATTACAATAATAATTATTTATAATAATAAAAATAATAGTTATTTATAATAATAAAATAATAATAATAATAATAATAATAATAATAATAATGATAATAGTAATAACGATAATAATAATAATAATAATGATAATAATTATAAAAATAAAAAATATGATAATGATTTATATTAATGATAATAATAATAATAAACAATAATAATAATAATGATGATAATAATAATGATAATAATAATAATCTATAATAATAATAATAATAATAATAATAATAATAATAATAATAATAATAAAAATAATAATAATAATAGCAAAAAAAAAAAATAAAAAATATTAAACACAATGGTGATGATGATAAACAGAGTGGTATTTGCATCATAAACACCGTTAATACAAAAATGTTGCGCTGGAAATGATGCTTTATCAGACCAAAATATTTCTGATTAATTGTGTAATTGTTGACTTTTAACGATTTAGTATTCTATACACAATCAAATCTAGTATTCTGATGTCCTTTTTTGCCATTCAATAATATAATTAATATTTATCCGATGAGTATTATAGATGATTTTTATGATGTTTCTAAATTTAAAAGTTCACAATTTTCATGTTTAAATGTTAATATCTGCTTAAGCCGGTATATTTTATTAAATAGCATTTTTTGTCATACCAAACTCATTGATGAGACAAACCCGTTATAATGAAGAACAGGTATGCGAAGTCCGTTTAGTGGTCTCATTAGCGAGGTTTTACTGTACTTGCAAAAGTTTAATGTTTGTTCACAATTTCCAGCTTCCGAAACCGGGCCAATTCCGAGTGTCTATACGAAAACATGTCCGGGTCTTGTTGATGAGCGGAGCTGTAAATACGTTAACAAGAAGAGTAGAAGAAACGATAAAATCGTATGAGGTTGTAAATTTTTCGAAATTATAAAGATAGCTAATACTCAGTAGATAATAAAAGGAGCAGAGTAATTACACATATTTTGTCGACTATATGAGAGATGTTTAATAAGCCAGTCATAGTTTTGATGTATTTTATATCTGTTTGCACAGCATAACATGTAAATTAATTAAAATAATCAAACGTGATCAGAAATAGTGGACTCTAATATTATATGATTGTGTCATGCTAGCTGGAAATGCAATTGACGGATTTTAATGAACGTAACGTACATTTTCATTATCAAGATTATCTGAAACATTACAGTATTGACACACAGTATATATAATCATACTTTAATAAACATTTTAACTTCCGCTACAGGTAGTTTGCAGTTCTGTGAGTGTTAGGAATAATGAAGAAATGCAAGATGAAATCAACAAATTTCAGCCAGATATTGTCATTTGTCCATTTCTTAAAGCAAGAATCCCGGAATCAATTTATAAACAAAAGCCATGTCTGATCCTTCATCCTGGAATAGCGGGAGATCGTGGAGCTAGTTCTATAGATTGGGCGATTTTAGAAGGCAAACATGAATGGGGAGTTACTGTAGTAGAGGCATCAGATGTTTTTGATGGCGGTCATATATGGAGTACAGATACATTTAGGGTTCCTAAAGGAAGCACTAAATCGTCTTTGTATAACGGCAGTATTGCTGATTCTGCAGTCAGGTGCATTCTAGACTCTTTGTCTCGATATTGTCAGGGGATAGCACCAACTCCTCAATATTCTTGTCCTGAAATCACCGGAACCTTTCGTAGAAATATGAAACATGACGACCGTCGTATAGATTGGGAGGAATCAGCGGAAAAGATTTCAGCAAAAATACGCATGTCAGATACATCACCAGGAGCAATTGGTAGATTTAGACAACTTGGTGGGGAAAATGTATACCGTCTGTTTGATGCACATATTGAAACAGGAAGAGAAAGCGAATTATTAAAGAATTTGATAACCGCGGCTCAGCCAGGGCAGTTTATAGGACAAAGACAGAATGCAATGTTGGTTAAAGCTGGGGACGACAACGCTTTATGGATCGGACAAATGAAAAAAGTAAACATTAAAAACCTTTTTTCCCAATAAAAATTATGTATGTGCATGTACAAACATATTGATGACAATTTGAGATAAAATGGAAAAAAGTACCAAAAAAAAAAAAAAATAATAAAAAATAAAAAAAATAAATAAATAACATAAAGACGGAAACTTTCTATAAACTGATCATTTTATTTACATAATTAAGTTTGGGTTAGTTAAGTATTGATTAGAAGATAAATAATTACCTAGTTGTCTGCTGAAGTCGATAAAATGTAAACAATGTAATTAGTAATAGAAAGAGCACCGAAACACGAGGCTATCTTATTTGTACGAGGGGGCATAGCCCCCTAGTATTAATCAGATTGCCTAGTGTTTTGGTGTTCTTTCTCTTTTGTATCATAGTCAAACATAAAAGCACGTTCCCTGTTGTCAAAATATGAAACCCCGGCAAAAATGAACCAATGAACGAACATCTGAATATGACATTTCTGTCGCTTTCCCTTTCTCTGCCGTCACAATATCGTCGCCTTATTCTAAAAATGTCCTAACTCCATTTTTACCAAAAATGAGATAACTGCACATTTATTTTAGTATTAGTTTGTTCTATCTCCAAAACAAAAATTGTGAAGATTTACGTCATACTTTTGTAGATATAGCGTCTGTATTTTGTTCTATGTCCAATGGAAAGCTTTTTGTTAGCCTTTTTACGTCGTATCTCCAACACATGTAACACTTTTAGACTAATCTTTCGTGCCAGCCAATCAAGTTGAAAAATATATGTCATGTGACCTGAAGGGGCCTGACAATATAATTGTTCTAACTCCAGTGATAACAACAACAATCGTATCTAAATCAGCCAGCTATTTAGGAAAGTAACAGTTAAAAAATGATTTCTGAAGCATGTAAGTAATATATTTTAGCTTCTATACGTTTTATAACTGAATTTATATTTTGTATTAGTATTTGTTTCATAGTATTATCATTATTTTATATATATTTCTCAAAGTTTCACAATCACATAGTTTCGGATAACTATATTCGGATATTCGTATGAACTATTTTGAACTATTTGGAGTATCGAGCATTGTTGTTGTTTAATTGTTAATGATAATATTTTGTCCATTTCAGGTCAGACTTACTTACATTATCAGACGTTGTCCTTACAAGAAATTATTGTCTCTTAGAACTTGTGACTGCAGTTAGCCAGAACTTCCACAAAACTATTGGAATTTTATTATCAACAACATCAAGTCTGTGGGGGAAGTTTTGAACTTGCCATCAGTTTCAGATAAATCATTGTTTCAAGTCTTTAAAATATTCACAAAATAAATAGATATTTAACATTCCAATGGGTCGGAATACCACTGTCTTGTCAAAACATAGATTTTAAGTTTGCATTGCGAGTTTCAGTGTTCTCCGGGTCATCAATGATTATATTTATTAGATAATAGCAGAATTCTTTTAAAGCACAATACGGCATGATCTAAAATGTTGCCGGCTCGGTTTGATTAGCCTGTTCATGGATTGTTCCAGTATCTACGTTGTGCGACAAAAACCAATATGGGAGATTGCAAAATTCACTGGATGTTAAATCTTTGAAACGACGATTTTTGCAATCTTGAAGATTGTTAAGAAACTTGAGCAGATATTTTTTCATTACGTTGATATTAAACCACAAACAATTTACTTGAAACTTGAATGCATGTTCGTATTGACTTTAATTGTGTGAATTAAAAAGAATTTATTGGTAACATTTTAACATTGATACATTGATTTCAGAAACGATCGCAATGTAAACTATGTATATATAACTCTATTGAATCAGAATACCACTTCCTTTTATGTTGTCAAAAATTTATACTGTTTATAAGAACCAAATATTTAGGAAAAACATTTCATTGCTTACCTTTACTAAAATGTTCGACTATATTGTCCACTAATAACAAAAAAGCTTTTATTCTTAAATTTGTGAACTCACTATTTTTCTAATGCATTAAAGTTGAGGGCAACAGTCTCTTGAAGATGTAACTCTTTTCTTAATTGTTTCAATTCTTGTACTCTTTTTGTTATATTATTGTATGATGTAATATTTGTTAACTATTTAACTTTTTTGGCCATATTTTTCATGATACTCTGTTAATGGGCCAAAGGTAATGTTTATTTGCCGATTTGCCAATAAAATGAAATGAAATGAAATGGTAATAATAATTTATATCTGTATCATTTAAAATCACAATATTTAGAGATGTTACAATCATTTCATTTTTCATAATGGTTTCAAAATATGTTCATTTTTTTAGCAAGTTCATGCATTTAAAAATTTTGTAAATGTTTGTTTTTCTTTTTTATTGCACACTTTTTATATTGTTATTATCGAGAAAGGCCCACTTGGATTCACGTGGAATGAATTTACACTTTGACCATAGTTTTTTACGAAGATAAAATGATTCAGTGTCAGCGGTTCAACCACTCTGGCTAAAAATGTTCTTTAGAATGTAAAATCTACTAATATTCTATAGTTTAAATTATTTACTCTTAAAAATGCTAAATCAAAAAAGATTACAATTTTAGACCTTACTTTGTCATATCTCCGCAAACCTTTTTAGAGTAATTTTTTAATCTAAAAATAAACATTTTTGGTCTATCTCCAAATTTTTTTTTTTAATTTTTACAATTACTGCAAAATTATAAAGGTATATAACAAATTGCTTTATCACATGTTGACATCTATAATACCAATCCAGAAGTCCAACACTGTTAGGAGTTATTAAAATTAAAGTTACAACTCTTGAACCTTTAACCCCTTTTTCCCAAAAAAGAGAAATTGTATATACCCATTTTAGAATAGGGCGACATAAATGTAAACCCCAGCAAAAATGAGCCCAATCAATGGGCATGTTCTGGAGTGCGGGTAACTAATTACCCCATCCAGTTAATGCACTGTGCAGTTATATATGTATACAATTAACCCTGACACCATTTTCAACAAGAAAGGTCTCCAAAACTATGATACAATATGTTTTGGAGGTTTACCCAATTAAAAGTGATCTAGATATTACATGATATAGCATACTCTTATACCATCCTTCATCATGTAGCGAATTTATACTGAAACTTTTAAACTAATATTTTTTCAGGCATCGAAGACTAACACTATCAAATTGCCGTCAATGAAAATACTTCACGAGGCGAACAGAGAAATCTATTTACCCGAGATTAATGAGCCATGTGCTTATGATGATATTCAAGTGGTACACGACGGGCCAATTTGTTATGTACACTTTGACTTTTATAATGGAGCTATGGATAAACACCAGGCTGCGAGACTTGTTCAATCATTACAGCTAATTGACGAGATGCCTGATGTTAAAGTTGTTGTACTTATGGGTGGCGAGAGATTCTCTTCCACAGGTACATGTTTCACTTGTTAATGTGCCACATAACGAACTCGGTTGTATGCAACAATGTACGTCTACGATAATACAGAAGCGTACACGTACTTGTTTGAGTGCCACATTGCCACTTTGACCACATACACTTAAATACATATATGTAAACTGTTCCCTTAAAACTCAATTATTTCACTTTATACTATAATAACGTTCTGAAATTTTTGATTCATTTTCTAGTGTACCTTACACCTATTGAAGAGTAAATTTGACACTTGAAATTGTTAACTTTTGATGCTTTAAAGTGTCATTTTAACATGTTTACATGTACCTGATTTCTTTTACTTACATTTATGTACCAATTACACTTTAACTGTATCGCTAAAAACTTAAAAAAACGTTTGTGACAGAAAAAAATAATCTCTTTTTGTATACTTAATTCTTTCAACATCTAGGTTGTTTCATGTTTTTAACCGATGCATGTTTATCAAAACATTTTGTTTTATTTAAGCTAAAATATGCTCACGCGTGATAATTGCCATTTTGTTTAATTCTATAAGTATTTGAGATAAATCAGTAAACAAAGTTATTAAAGTACATACATTTGATACATATGGATTTACTACGTGAGAAATCTGTGTTCAGTTGAGATCAAACGATATTATGAAAACGAGTTAGATTGCAATTAAGATTTAAAATATGTACAAACAGTTAAAATTACAGCAATGAACATAGGCCCATGCTAAAAAGTTTAAGTTCTGGAAATAACTTCACAAACTTCAAATGAGCTTAACCAACCATTTATCAACTTGTTGATTATCATAAAACATTAAATTTTGATTAATGTAGATCTCATACACGTACAAGGTTGTCATAATTTGCAATTATTATCTATATGTATAAAGGAGTTTGATATTTTCAAAATATTTTTTTTTAATTACTAGTAATGAGAGAGCACAGAACAAATTCTTAGATATGTTTACTTTTCGATCATTGTTCAGAAAAACAAAAACCCTCCTAAATCGAGGAATACTTGTCAGCCAATACACGATATGAAAAAGGCACGAATGTTAACCTTCCTGACTGTATTAGAACATTTTTTGTAAATAAAGCCTAAGGAGTGTAAAATAAAGAATAAAACTTATATAGATCTTTTGCGTGATCGTGTCGATACTAAACATTTATCTCAAATTATGCAGGAAAGGCATCAAAGGACATGTATCAAGTATCTAAAGTGAAATTAAATTACATCTTAAATTGAAACCGTCCAAGATTTAAAATTATCCATAAACGCCGCGCGTTCTAGCGTAATTTCGTTTTTTTTTCTTTGGAAGACTATAAATAGGACCTTATTTTCTTGTACAAATCTGTTCTAGATTCCTACTAAATACGATGAAAGTACGATAACATAAGGATTATAATACTTACAGGAATCCATCTGTGTGTTATTGAGCACAGCATGTACAAGCAGGCGGAAGCATGGATCAACATAAACAAAATCAATGATGTCATAAGCACCACGGTAAAAATGCATAACAAAGCAACTGTTGCAGTCTTACAAGGAAACGCTGCTGCAGGGGGCGCAATGTTTGCACTAGCTTGTGACGTCACAGTTGCTCATCCGGTAATGGAAAAAAATCGTTATGTTATTTATCTTTTTTACGGTGTCTACCTTAAAGATATATATTTCAATGAAATTCGATACATTTTAAACTTCCTGAAATTAAAGTCTTGCAATACTTTTCATCTACAATAAAAGGGGAAAAGTTTCATTCCGCAAAATCTGATTATATTTCCTGACGTTATGAAAGTGTTTAATTGTTTCCCTTTTTCTCGATAAATATAATCACTACATATGTATAGGGAGATTGAACCATTATGAGGAACAACTCAACCATTCTTTTTTTATGTACGCAAAATCCTTTCAAAATTTATAAAACTGTCTGATAGTTGGTAGCTAGATTTGAAAAGATATATCTTTCTGCTTCTGATACAAATGATACAGAAGGTATTCAAAGTTATAGTAGGCACCTTTTAATTCTTTTTGTCATATTTTAAATCTACCTCAATATTTTCAGGGTGTTTTTCTTACTCCGTCGTACAAATCGATGAATCTTTTCGGCTCGGAATATTGGACATATTTCCTTCCAGCACGCATTGGTCATACAGCTGCCAGGGAACTTGTTCGTGAGACAACACCGATATCTGCAATGACTGCTCACAATTTGGGTTTAGTTGATCACGTAATATCAAAGTATGTGTACATGTTTTTTTGAGCTGTTTATATATGCATTGCATTTGCTTTAAGAGTTAAGGAAATTGTGTTCTCTGATTGGATTTCTTTACAAATAATGCAAAGTAGAATATATGTTCACGGATAGGCCTGCAAGCCTAATTCGTTTAGAACATTATGTTTGTCCGAAACATTCAAAGGTTGTACTGTGTGCAATCAAAATAATATTTCACTGAACCAAATCATTACGCATATACCTTTAAGAATATTTAATAATAACCAAAGGATAAAGAACTACTAGATTTGTAAGTTTCTTATTATACATCAATTAAACCGTGAGTTTTGTATAACGAAATCAACCCAAATTGTATCATTTTATAATTGTAAAAGCGTATTTAAAATATCAAAATCATTATGTATTTTACTAATAGTATATTTATTATATTAGCGGAAAAGAAAAGTTTAAACAAGATGTTCCAGAATTAATTAAAACTCTTTATAAGGATGGACAATTTGACGACATTATATCACAGAAGAAGAGACAGAGGAACGCCAGCTGGATAAAATTAATCGATAAACACCGCCATTACGAGCTCTCAAAAATGAAGGAGAACTTCAAGTCAAGAGAATTTCTAACATCATTACACAATTTTGTGTATAAAATTCAGGAATAATAACAAAGTTCAAAGTAGGTCAGCTTTAACTGACCTGTCACCGCAGGTTAATCAGGACCAATACTTTCTGTCACTGTCAAACATTTGTTACGCTGTATTATTTTCATTTGCTTCTTTCCGAGATTCTTTTATAAAAGAATTATCTATTTAACTAAAAGAAAAGAATTATCAGGCCGCTGGCTTTTTGCAGCTGACATGCCATTAGTATAAACCTAATCTTTATGATTGGCCGAATCGATAATTTCTTAATTCATGAAATACATTTTAATTGGTTGATTTAATAATTTCTTCTTTTAAAGTGTGTATTTCCATTGGGTAACTGTTGAACTCATTTTAGATAACGATTTATGTTTTAATGAAAAAATATATAAATATAGTCAGACAGTATACATGCAATGTTGCCGCAGTTTTCTACGGTGAGTTTAAATGCACATATATAGATGTTATTTTAACCAGTTGGAATTGTGAAAGGCACATTATGCCTCCTAAACATTTTTTTTACCTCTTTCGAAAGGGCAAACATGAATTTTATAATGTTTAGATAATAGTTTTAAAGAATGTTAGATACCTGTTACCTGAGGAAAGTTGCGAACAAATGTAAAATAATTTGTTATAAAGGTAGCAAAATGTAAACATAGTAGTATTTTGACTTCCAGACAAAAAAAAAAAACAAACAAATTTACTATAACCGTACTAATTGCCATAAAAGCAACAAATGAAATGTTTCATGTAATAGGCCAAGAGAAAATTTGTGCATATTATGACAGTACGTGAAAATTACAACGCTATTTAGAAGTAAAAATAAAAGCATTTCTTAGGAATAATGGGCCTTTAATAAAAAATAAAAATAAAAAACAGAAAAATGAACTTCGTGTGTTTGTGCTTATGTTATATAACTATAGGATTTTTAGATGAATAGGTCTAGATCTAAGGAATAAACATGTGAAACAAAAAGAAATAAAAAAATATTAGACGAAGAGAACGCCCAAAACGACGTTTGAAAATGTTGCAGTCTCGGTTTTTGATTGAGCTTGTTCATGGACAGAAGTGGTAATAACAAGCTACCGCCTAAGACCCCAGTACCAACTTCAGCAGAATTCAACATTAAAACACGAAAATGGTGAAAAAGAATTTAGAAACATGTATACAGATGAATTCATACGGCGATTGTAATGGAATCTTCAATGAAATACATTAGTGCCATATTCCATGAGTTGACAAAAAAAAAACAAAAAAAACAATGGACGGAGCTAAACAAAAAAGAACTTTGAAAGGGGATCAGAGGGTCAGACTGGTATATATCACAGATTAGACGTATTCAAGTATAAAAACTTCAACCACCCAAGCCAAAAATGGACAAATAGGAAGAACTTACATTACCATAAACCTGTACACAAAATAATAATGTCGTGTTGAACGATCTCCAAGGAATAATATGTACGGGCGACTTTATTTACCGCCTCCTCACAAGGATTCCTTAAGATGTGTCCACCCTTTTTCCGGGAATGTTCTAGCTTCAGTAGTGACAGTCTGGTAAATCTAGTAATCTTGTCCGCCTACAGCAATCTCAAGACATGCACCACTAGATTACAAGACTGTTGAATGATAAGCTAGATCAATGGCGGCATCATGAATTGCATAAGGGTTATATTGAAATATTCCACAACGCTTTATGACTAATTGAATGTTCACAGGTGTTGCTTACCTCATGACGTGTTACTTATTTATCGGCCTGCTGACTCACATAAACTGCAATTCAATCAAATTCGAAAAGAACAAAGCATGAATCGTCCTTCGGTTTTAGCAAAATATAGAAAAACGGAATCCCGAAAGAAAGCCCAAAACGACTAAATTAAAAATACTGCAGGCTCGATGTGATTAGACCTGTAATTGGAACAATTGGAACAACACGACGGAAATATAAGCAAGATAATGCTCTGCTCTTATGTTCACTCTATTGAAATAGTAAAAACTAACTCCCTAAAGAAAGCCCAATTCGGGATAACTGACAATGTTGCAGGCTCGACTTGATTGAGTCTGTTGACCTTAACTGGTTAAACCTAGTGACTATCACCCGATATGAAAATAGAGTAATTACTACATCGAGAAGGAAGAATTGGTTCCAAATGGTCATGTAAGTTTGTGTCAGATATTTCGGTATTTGATCAACAGAATATCATTGTTCAAATATTTCTGACCCTACCATCAGTGCTGCCTGCATCAAAGTAATGAGGATAAGATATGAAGAGCAAATGCATTCCACTCTACTATAATAATTACTTCTTTGAGACACTGATACTTGATACTGTGCACCCACTAAGCACCTGCAGTTTCCTTTGGGGTTTATATTCAATAATAAGGCATTTTAAGCAATCATGTAGATGTGAAATGGCTTTTTCTTTAGGTTTTATTATTAGTACTATTTTAGACTTCCAATGCTTGTGTAAGAAAGGTTCTTGTTCCTGCGTTAACATTGGCTGTTGACCTGACACAACAATGTGAATTTTTCCATTTACCTTTTGTATAGGTGTATAGGACCCAATGTGTCTATCAATCAAATATCAGTCCATTCAGTAAGATATTATGAGGTCTTTTTTCTGACAACATCGGAGATCTTGTTGAGTTTTGGTATGCAAAATTGTAGATATGTCAACGAAAGAGTCAAACGCCTCCTACCATCTGCGGCGGCGGAATTGCGTCTTTTTATCAACATAACGGTCTGTTTACATCCATTCTTATTTGATATTCTCTGTTAAAATTGTATAATGTTTAGTATACGTATGTCTTCACATTTATGTCTTTCTTTTATCTTTGCTGAATATACTGCGATTCTACGGCTATCATAAAGGTGGTTGTTCAAAAAACACAAGATCAAAGTGTAAGGTTACTACAAATCCTAAAACTAATTTGTATTACTGTGTGAACCTGCTTTTACAATTCCTTCAATAAGTTATCCTCCGGACACAGTCTATACATAATTAAGGATATAATGCTGTATTCAATTTGCAGGAAAAAACAAACAAATACTGCTCTAAAACCAGACATATTTAGCTTCACAAAAAGCTTTTTTTTAAAAAATCGATTAAGTTATGATGGAGAAATAAGTTGAAACATTGCCTCGGGTGAACTCGATGTAAACCTTTTTACTTTCATTTTCGGTGTAAAACAGTGTTCACTCCTGTTAGAATAAGAAAACCCAAGTAAAATGTAGCAAATCAACAAGCATGCTCTATGTTTCTACCTGACAGATAGTGTAATAACTAGAGTGCAGGTAACTAATAATTTTATGGGTATACGAATTTACTCATTTGGAACAGAAAGGTCTCCAAACTATGATACAATTTCTATTTATGCTGCACCTAATTTAACTATTCTGATAAATGTGGATATAATCTGTATACTCAAAGCAAGCATTTTTAAATATTTTACTTATCCTGAAGAAAGATTATAAAACATTAATCTCTTTAAATAAGTGAAGTTTGATTGAAACATCATTGGCAGTTAATTCGTTATATTTCTAATAAGCATTTATTTATTAACTTAAGGGATACAATTTAAAAATAATAGCATGGTAGAGTCATGGCCCTTAGACACTGAAATTCCACTAATTGGTTTATATCACTTAGTTTTTTTTAATTCTTTCAGTACTTTTTTAAGTTATTCTTTAGGCAAGTGTGTGACGGACGGATGTACATCTCAACATTAAAGGATGACTGTTCTTTGATCATGTAGAGGCAATTTTCAATCACACACACGCGCACACACACATGCACGCATGTACACACAAGCACCAACACACAAACGCGCGAATAAAAATTAAAATTATCACTTTAACTAGCGATTTTCTTTCTTTTTAACTAAGATTACAGAAGACATTAAGCTGATTAACCGTAGGATTTTGACCCAGACGAAGGCATTACGGACAAGGGAAAGACTAAATGCTTTCTATTCGGAACGTATATTGAATAAACAGAACTTGGTTTTAATTTAAACTCCTCTCTTTATATAGGGCAATGGAAAGGGCAATGTCGTTCCAGAATTCTGCTTTTGCACATTTGCATTTTATTGGGATAATTTCCATTTGTAATGGTAAATGGATGTAGATTTTATAACGTCGTTAAGCAAATTCAATGAAAGAAATAAAGCATGGTTGATAAGCTCGCAGTCTGCTAGCTGTTGCGTTTAATTTAGCAGTACATTAAACACATACTTTGTGTCATAGTCTGCTTCAATCATATCCATAAATTATTTGGATACTGGATCAGCAATCAAAACGAAATGGATAAATTATGTCATAAACTTAAAGAAGGACAAAAATACTTTATCGCACACGTTTTAGTGCAATAGGGGACCGTAGTTTTTTTCTGCTTAATTAATCCGGCTCGAATGCATTTAATGTCTCTTTATTCAGAAAGCATGTGTTATCATGGATCGACGCAAAATATTCCTCACCTACATTTATAATGGTGGCCCGAACAAATTTCAAGAATTTTTTAAAACTTTTTATTACAAAGCATAGGTTTATTTGAATATCAAATAATATTCAATATATACAAACGGCCCGAAAAGTAAGACATTTCAACAAACGTATTCAAAAAGAATGCTTTAATGGCCTTTAATATAGTTAAATAAAATACAATATGATACTTAATCAGGTAATAGAAAATACATTTAATTACAAAGAGAATGATAAGATATGTTTTTAGATAATATTTTTTTAAACATACAGTACTAGAAATCCAACTGGCAACCTCACATGATATTGTTTACCATATTTTAACCATTGACTCTAAACATCCCAATGAAAGTAAAACTCCCTTACGATAAGGGCAAAGGATAAATGTTAACCAGCAAGACAACTATATACTTAATTAACAGTACCTTTTCTAGAGAGAGAAATTGGAATTCGTAAACAGTATAAGTAAAAAAATATACATAAATACATACAAATACCATACGATAATGATTCAGTTAAGAGAAAATATAAAACAAATACAATGTTATGACAAAACAAGATTGGGAAATTACATTTTTATCTTCAAAGAGGATGATAAAAAGAAGAGGTTTTTACCATTCATTTTTAAAATACCGGTATAGTGATACAATAATTGAATAATAGCTCGGTCCTCCTTTGAAAAGCCTGTTAGATGGGCCGCCGGTATGACAAAATAAGTGTATAAATTGTCTTAAAAACAGACAGACAAATTTGACATTTACTTCTACAAATGAAGTTTCTATTTAAACATCATTTTCTTGGGAAGGATTTTTATCTTCCTGGAACTGTTGATCATACCATTAACTAGAACAGCAACAAGAAGTCCAATTATCAATGGACCGCATGCTGCACATAAAGAAGCCACTATTTGTCCTTGAGTAGTTTCCGGAAACATATCGCCATAACCCACGGTTGTCATTGTTATAACTGCCCACCAGAACGCGCCTGGAATACTTTCAAATCGTGTTCCATACTCGTCACCAGGAATTTCAACGGTATATACAAGAGTTCCCCAGAATACAACAAGAATGAATGAAAGGAAAGTAATAAAAATCAACTGCCCAAAGCAAGACTTTAAAGTGTACACGAAAACGTCCGTCCCTAGCATTACCTTAAAATGTTTAAAAATTCTCAAAAGACGGAGGATACGGAATATTCTCAAAACACGAAGAAACATTAACGACTTATTAACCGCTACAAGATTTTCAATGATAAAAAACAGCCATTCTGGTAGAATAGCCAAGAAATCTATTATACCAAGGAAAGACAAAATGAAGTTTTTCCTGTTTGGTGAGTACAACAGTCGTAAGATGTATTCTACAGTAAAGAATAAACAGCATACTAAAGATATGATGGTAGCCTCAAAAAGTACAACGGGTTCTTCAGTGATTTTATCATAGGCACGGTCCACAGTGGTATTGGTTTCTACTGTTTGAACTGTTTGCAAATATGGCGTTGTTGCAGCAACGAAAATCACTACCGACAGGAACATTAACAAATATGATATCCCGGCATATATCTTCGCCCACATTGACGTTTCCGGGTTGCTAAGAATATTCCAGATTTTGTTTCCCGTTCCAGTGTGAGGAGACATATTTCTGTTTTCAGTCACACCTGCTAAATGTCCAATTGTAGAACAGGGCTGAAAAAAAAGATAAATATACATGTATCTCTTCATGAAAGAAATCAAGTGTATATGATTACTAATATACATTTGTATATGTGAATATATAAAGTTTTAATGCTTTAAGAAAACGCATATGGTAAACTGTTCTTTTGTGTTCATATTTTAAAGTATACAAATCAAACATTTAATTGTACAATACGTGAATATATTTGGAGGGTCACAAATATAAATCTGTGTTCGACCTAAAGTGCCAGTACTCGTAAGTTGTATAACTACATGTGTTTATTCTCTAAGGAAATAGAATTTGCATGGCAATGGCCAAATGCACATAACTTTTTAATATAGGACAATTGTATCGACAGCTATAGTTTCCATTTTGGGAATTAATTGGTTGGCACATGGTACCATTTAAAGTCAATGGTAATAATATATAAATAATTATATTAACATTTGTTGATGAAACATTGTCATGATTGTATGTATTTGCTCTGTCCCTATTCGAGGGTGTAAAGGTGTGCATATATAGGAATACATATAAGTACCAATGGAACATCTCCGCTGACAATCACTTTCAAATCGGGAGTCAAGCCCCAAAACAGGAGTTCATTCCTTACAAGAGGACCATCGATATTTGACGGGATAAAGACCTGACCAGTTCGTAGGTAGTTTAACACAATCTGAAACAATGAAAAATACACACATGCACATTTTAAGTTGATAATTTATTACAAAATTCACTTTGTCATTACCTAAATTGTCAGAACAATATACAGGGATTTGTGCCAATGCAAAAGAGTTTTTAATATGGACAATACAATTTGGTGGAAACAACCTTTATTAAAGTGTACTAGCATATGGCTCAGACATTCTAGAAATCTTTCTCTGGTGTAGTATTCAATAAATAGTATTAATATTTTGAAAAACAGAAAGGTATGCCTTTATCCATTCCCTTAAAAAATTGTTAAGGGATAGACATTAAAATTCAAATAAATTGATGTATATATTACTGCCGTCAGAATAGCTTATCCAAATACATCTGCACGACAAATATCTAAGTTGTTACTTAATGCTTCTGAAGAAAAAGCAAAGGGTTATGTCACGTGACATGAAAAGACTCTTCTCATCTAAGAGCATCTTTTGCCAATCAACTAATGATCACCAATACCAGAATTTTCATAAAAGTAAACACTCAATGTATGAGATCAGTTGCCACGGGGACATTTGGCTTCGTATGAGCTAAGCGGGCGAAAAATACTTTAAATGACCTTCCTAATTTAGGAACAGTAAGAGGTCACTTGTGTCAATGACACTGGCACTTCAAATAGATATTTACACTTTTGCTCATATATTTTTTGTCAATTAATATACTTATGTTTTTTTTCATAATTGGCATGCAGGTATGAAATATGTAGGTTGATATCTTAGGTAACCCTCTAACTTTGTGTATAGTATGGGGTCACTAAGGTGATGGTCAAAACACTTTCGTTTTGTTAATTACTTTTTTGAAACCTGCTCCGCTTCGTTTCCTTAAATTTGCATATGGCTTATTACAGATAGATGTAATTAATGTTTTATAGTCTACATTCTGTCATAACCGTGCTCTGGATTCAGTATCTTATCCAGCTCAAAATCATGACGCTTTCAGTACTTTACTCTTGGTCATTGTCCAATACAATCGTTATCATTAAAACAAATATAACTTTTAAATGAAACCTAATATGTCATAAAAGATAACCCGTTTAATATTCATTTAACGGAAATATCAAGCATAATATATTAAGATGGAATAGCGTGCCAACCTTAAAGGCATCCGGGTCTCTATCAACGAAGTAATCGTTTTTCCCAGGTCTATGAATTGTCTTCAGAAAACTCTCATCTCTCAGAGGACCGCTCTGTATTTGCATAATTGTAGATCTGTAACAAAACGATAGATTGTCTAATGGGTACTAAATTATTATGTATTGGTTCTTACAAAAATATTTTTCTTATGACATCTACCATATCCACTTGTGGCTGAGTTGTTGTCTTTATGTTTAACACTACGTGATCGTCAGAGATGATTATGTGGTTTTGAGCTTCTTGAGTCTATGCATCTCTTTGTTCCAGCAGGTGAGGTTGTTTTAACCCCTGATCCTGTGTTCGAACAAGATCAAGATCAGGATCAAATTAAAAAACTGTAATATTCATTGTTTATGCTATAAGATGAAATATCTAATATCAATTTGAGAAAACTTGACTTGCGATAGAAAGTTTATGAAATTTTAGAATAAAATTGTTATTTTTGCAAGATACAGGTATTTTACAGTGGATCAAAATATTGATCCTGATCGTAAAATTGATTCTTATTTTGATCCGAATAGTTTTGTATTTGTTTTGTTATTTGTTGATTTTATCCCAAAATAGTTTGGTTTCTTTGCAAAATAGCATTTTTTTGCGTTTTGAATATTTACCATTTAATTCTAGCAAAACACGATTAATTTTAGTAACATAAAACAATGAAAATAAAACCAGAATCATGTCGTGCGCCGTAAATCCAAACCATTACTCTGACGATAATATATATAAATATGTCGAAAAATATACAAAAATACATTATAACATGATTGGCATAATAAAGTATAATTATGTTCACTTGCTAGTAAAATGTTACAACGTTTTGAAATGATGTCTCAAACAAACATATTGTATGAACAGTTCAGACTCGGTTCATTTGAGATAAACGTAAAAGTGCATCATCTCTCACGCACCCTAGCACCGGCTTAAGCGTTATTTAATATTCAGCGTGCAGGAATTAATGATCTAGAAGGAGATGTTAAATAAACAACACTGCAGTAAGTGAGGTACAGGGCATTTTTTAGCTGTCACAGGCCATTTGACACGCGCTGACATGTTTTACTATGTCCGAGGAAACTGTAATTATGAGTAACACACGTGTCACTTTGTCTTTGACCTCCTAACCTCTGGACCATCTAAAAGAATTGATCATATTTAAATGATATTTCACAAAATGTCGCTTTAACCTTGGCATTTAACCTTATAACCTCAAAGTAAGAAGTAATCCCCTGGTCCTGGACAATGTCCCGACAGTTCGTACCTTAAAAATGATGGGTTTAATACCCTTTAGGAATTAATCGGACAATATTTTTACACGGGAGTTCGCTGTTACTTTGACCAAATAACTTAATGACCTCAAAATCAAAAGGGGTCAGTTACACACTATTGTCCCTACTATGCTGTACACATCTAGGCTTTTTCAAGTTAATGATCGAACACAAACTGTCACTACGACATGGACATCGGACCTAATGACCTTATCATCCTCTTGCCATAGACAATGTCACTAGTACGGTTATTTCCATTCGGACAATACATAATTATATTTCCATGAAAAAACACAAAAAAATGTACCTGTATGTTTCGAATACGACTCCTCCAATATTAAAGGTCAGCGTTTCATTTCCAGAATCATTTCCGTCCAGTAGCCTGTTAGTTTCTTCAGCAGAAGACATATTGTTTTCCAAACTCAAAACCGTCACTAAAATATCAATTTGTAGTATCTCAAAACATGTCCCAGGTATTGAATTGGTCAATGTACATTATGTTCCAGTTGCTAACCAACCAAATACCTACGATTGGTATATAAAATGAGAAAATTACTAAAATATCACCAATACATTGCATGCGTTACGAGTAATATCGTTGGATGCTATCAAAAGGAAACAGGTTATTTTCAAATGTCTTATTTTTTCGTCAGATGTTCACAGTTCATCATTTGATTTTCAACTTTTCATTACCTAGACCAAATACTAAGTATTTTGTTTATTCTGGATCTTGAATTTTGAGAGGCTTTCCTGATTATATCAAGTCTGCTACATCTGTAAACAATTTTAAAACCTTATACTTGAGATTTTAAAACACATCGGTGTATACAAGTTGATGGCCTCGTTTGAATATGTTTAATTTATATTGTGCCATGTTATGGGTCTCATGAAAAATGAAATGTTGTTCAGATGAGTTCTGTTGTTAAATAAAATTTTAACATTTATTTTTTTTTATTGTTTTATACATTTTAGTATTTTGACTTCAATACAAAATACTAATTCACTATAACTATACCAATTGCTAAAAGAACAAAGATAGTTCATCTATATGGCTTATAAGTATTTATTTGCTTGGAAACTGTAACAATTAAGATACCAAAATATAGAAAGTTTTTGAGAAATAAAATGAAATAGAAATAGCATTTCTGAGGCATAACAGGCTTTAACGAAAAAGGCTTACTAGCTCCATTATTTCTTTCCTTCGAAAAGTGGAGCTGTTTAAGATTTATAGATTTTAATAATTTGCTAATTTCTTTCTGGTTTAATGAAAATACATTCAGGAAAGAAAACGAACAAGTATTGTAAAAAGAAAAAGAAAAGAAATAAACATAAAACGAATTAGATATCCTATTATTTTTCCACTTATTCCAGATACCTCTATATTTATTGAATAAATGCTGCAAAGCGATCAAATGCCAACCCATTCATAAGAACACCTGTTTCATAATAGAAACCTAGGTTAATATTTAGAACAACGTTCTGTTCTATTTATTTCCGTGGATTCTATAATGTACATGTATATAAACTATAAACCAGGTTACTTTGATGCAGTAGGGTTACATAAAGGTATTACAATAGTAAAATAAATAAAACATTGTATCACAAATCATACTCACATAAATCAGTCAAAATTCCACAAAACTTAGGGGTCCAGAAACTGCACTCAATTTTTTAAGCTTTAAGCACTCTGCAGTGATACATAGGTCGATCAATAAAAAAATCCACAGCGCATGCGTAGCGTTTCTGCTTCAAGGTCGCGTGAATTCTGTATAATCGTACACTATACTTGTTTTTTCTATATCAATGTTTACCTGTTGATTATATTTCAGATTAAATTGGGTAACAACATGTATCCCTTAATTGATTCTGAACGGCAGACATATTTTCAATCAATATTGACTTTATTTTCCGATGTATAATAAAATATAAAATTTAATATTTAACGTAGATCGTCAGCAAACATGGACAACGTTTTATAGTTACATTTATCACACACCCGTGCCGATTTGGCGACTCCGTAAATATGGTATTGCACGCCGTGCAAATATTTTGACGTTACGTCATTAGCGTTATACAAATATAGCGTAAAGACGCGCTAAATGTTAGCGTTATACTTTAGGCGCGTCATTGAAAAATGACTCTTATTTCACATTAAACGGTCTTTAATTTAATTTAGGAATTTAATAGAATATTTAATTAGTGTATTTTATTAATTGAACTCGTTGAATAAAATAATTTATGCTCGCCTGAGGCTCGCATAATATAATTTTATTCAACTCGTGCAATAAATTCAGTATTGAACTTACACTCATTTAATATCCTCTATGGAGTGAATATTTTGAAGAAAAAAATGTACATACAGTAGAAAATAAAGCTTTAAATGGCCCTATATACAACTAAAACGAAAGTTTTTCGTCAAACTTTGAATAAGAGCATCGAACACAAAAGTAACACTAAATTTATACCAATAAATCGAACAATAGGCGACTTTAATTGAGCATATTTACATTTCAGAAAAAATGGTACCGTCAATTATTGTATATATTGAATAAACGTACATTTTTACTTTTCTTCACTTATCACAAGAACCTCACAAAATGTTTTGTTTAACTGTTTTCCGTGTTATCCATGTTTGATGACGTTTTGTTTTCGTTTATTATCCTTAAAGGTGCATGCCTCCAGATAATCCAAAAAATTTCAAGAAAATCAATCTTGAGAAAAATGTAATAAATTTTATGTAAAGTAAACAGATGTTTGACTTTTACAGTAATAATTTACATTTTAAATGCGTTTTATGACTGATTTGCAGTATTAATCACAATATTTCTACTGCGTGACTAACACAGTAAGAGTTATTTTTGGCAACTTTTAGCCTCTAATTGGTAATTTTCGTGGATTGTAAGCGAAGTTTGAAATAATGAAAATTGTTATCTTTGATCACTTCACAATATTTCACTTTTACATACAGTTTCAAATTTTTCATGAAAATAAGCATGAATCTAGATGCATGCTGTTTTAAATACAAATGGGCTGTTAATTAGTTACGTTTCTCAAATCATCTTAATCACGTTTCTTAATCATCTTGGTTCTTAGAAAGAAATGCATTTTGGAATCAATTGTAGTTCTTAACAACATAATAATGTTCATACATCTTATCGTATGTTTATTGAGAATTTCATTTTGCCAATTACTTTTCAACGCATAATTGTTTGTAAGAGGTTTTCATATAGTTTTTTTTATTTGCATAGTAGCAGGATGAATTGCTTTGAAACTTTGCATTGTGTTTTTTGTTTATTCAACGATGAATTCAAGATGGCGGAACGCGCGGAGAGCAATAAAATGGCAGATTTTCTTACTAGTATATGGCGTTATAGTAGCTTTCAAAACAATTATACGCATATAAATATATTAATGTAGTATAATTCTGTTTGCGGACTGTAATATACCTCTCTTTTAAAAATCAGTGAGTCGTGATCTGTCTGAAATTTTGTTTTCATCATTACCTGCAGGTGAAACGAAGCTGTTTCATTTTATCAACATAAATTATGAATGGATTCGCAAAATGATAATTTAGGTAAATTAAGTATGTAAGCAAATCTAAGACTATTTATTAAATCTACTACTGTAACATTAAATGTACAACAAATCGTCAAATGTGTCATAAGATAAAATATTGTTCCTGGGATAGAAAAACAAAATTTTCTTATATATAGACAAATGAATAAAAACGTCTTGCTTTGTTTCACTTTAGGAACCTCGAAATAGTGCATGCAAAATTGTTTAGAGAAACTGTATTTTTTTTAATCGAGTTTTCAATCAAGTGACATTTATTGTCGTTTTTTAATTTGGTTTTAAGTAATAGTGATACTCTAACGATGATAACTTATTTCTGCGATATTCTTGAAAACTATAATATTATAGAAAATATTTTTCAACAATGAATGAATGAATGAATGAATGAATGAATGAATGAATGAATTAATTAATTAATTAATAATTTAATGATTTATATATTTATTTATTTATTCCAATTTGAAAAATAAAGAAATCCAGAAGTCCCGGTCAATCTTTTACTTTGTATCATGTAACAATCAAATACATATTTAGGTAAATCCCTCACGTAATTTCAACATAACTGATATGATAGTCTCCCTTGCATCAAATATTTACAATTCTGACAGCATCTATCAAGTGAATTGTAATGTTTCTACAATGTATGAGCTTGACTTTATTAATTTCTTTTAATTTTGTACATGACAAATAGTATAGTGTTCTGAGAAGTGAATTACTTTGTTATTAATTACATAGACTAAATGATTCCTTCTTGAAAAATGCTGCCCTTGATAGCTAGGTGTCGTAAATTGTGGAGTGCCCGCACCGTAGAAGCAAACAGTTGGCTTATGTGTTATCATCTACAAAGGCATAAACGTTCCAATCAGATGGAAATATAGGTTTGTGCTTATCAATTTATTTGCTAGGGCAATTAAAAGGGTACAATTCTGCAATTGTCATGACAGCAACATATTGTGATGCTTTGTATTCAAATTTTCATATTATGGATGGCTTTGTGGTGAGGATTAGTAAGTTGTAAAACGCGTAATATGATTGCACTGTTTTTCATTATCCCTATTCTATAATACAAATGTATATTCTCTTTACTTTTATCACTGTCTCACGCAAAAGACGATTCAAGACTTGATTTAATTAGCTTAATATTCTGCGCGGATTTCATTCTAATAAAGATATAAGTGAACGTCTACTCTAGAACCTTGTAAATCAAGACTTTTTCATTGAACTGCTACTGTAATAGGTGCTAAAACCGCCAAAAATGCGATTGAGTTTGTGTAGCAAATGACTGATCTACAATTATATATGTCTATATATATTATATATATATATATTAAAACGTGATGAATGTTCCTTGTGCAGTGTTGAAATATATAAAATTATAATGTTTTAAAAGTTTCGGCTGAAGATATGCAAAGAAAGCATTGAAAGCGCTACTGATTTTACATATAGAGTTTGTTATTTCTTAAACATTATAATTTTATATATATATATATATATATATATATATATATATATATATATATATATATATATATATATATATATATATATATATATATATATATATATATATATATATATATATATATATATATATATATATATTTTTAAGCGTAATTTTTAAGAGGAAAATTGAACTTGAAGTTACATATTTTTTTAGATTAAAACTATAACTTTGGAATAATGGTTTGAGAGCATGTTAGATGCTTATTACATTGAGAATGTTTAAGCGCCAAATGTGAAATTACATAAATTTATCATAAAAATAGCAAAATGTAAACAAATTCCATACAAAATACTAAACTGACCAAATTATCAAAAGGAAACAGAAGAAAAAGATAGAGTTGCTTATCAACCAGTGATCTTTTTTTCCTTTTTTGTAGGGGGGAGGGGGGATGGTGGAATAGGACACACAATAAAGCTTTAGAGAAATAAAAATAAACCATTTCAGGAAGATGATGGGCCTTTCAAGTCTAATTATGTCTCAGAACAAATAAGTTTTGTTTCTTTAGAAAAGGCAGACATGAATGTTAAAATAATGATTTCAGAGCATGTTACCCATAGAAGGAAGAGCTGAATAAAATATATCTCATTTAAGTAACAAAATGTAAACAAAGCTGTATTTTGACTTCAATAGAAAATACTAATTTGCTAAATCAGTGTAATATATTTTATCACCAAGTGGCCCTTTGGCATAAATGATATGACCGTCATCGACTGATAAAACCTATTAAGATGACTTCAATTTCAACATGACAGCAGATCCTTTCCTATCTGATAAATAGCTGGCTCTCATAGCGATAGCGTTATTTAACGGCTCAACAATATTTCTATAATGATAATGATATGGATGCGGATGACTAAATGATATGATCATTAAAATGATACATTTTAATAATAATATTGTATACTGATAATAATGTTGATGATGATGATGATGAGGATGATGTTGATGATGATAATGTACTGATGATTATAATGCTGATGATGTTGATGATGTACTAATGGTTATGATGATAATAATATACTGATGATGATGAAGATGATGACGATGATAATGATGATGATTATGTTGTTGATGATGATGTAGATGATGTAGATGATGTGATGGTGACGATGTACTGATGATCATGATGATGATCATGTAAATGATGATGATCTTGTTTATCATGGTGTTGATGATACTAATGATGATTATGCCATAATTATTTTAATAATTATGTTGTGCTGATGATGATAATGACGTTGTTGTTGTTGATGATGATGATGATCATGGTAATGATAATGGCGATGATGATGATGATGAAGACAATACATGATGATGATGATGATGATGAAATAAAGTCCTGAAATGTTTTTGTTGTCAATAAAATAATATTTTTAAGAAATAAGTGCATATAATCTTTTTTGCTGAAGTTTTTACCTTGATTGATTTTATACTGTAAGGTTATACATTGTTGAGTACCATACTGAGTTCTATTGGACTGTAAGTCGTTTTTCATTTTCTGCTCATCGTTCATGAATTTAGCTTATTAATATCTCGATAGAATTTTTTTTACTTTAAAATTTCTATAATTTCATTAAAAGTTGTATGCTTTTAAACAACATTTCTTTGCAAAAACTAAAATGTTCTTGACTGAAGTTGTTTTGTATAGACATGTTTGTAAATCACG